ATCAGACGGCAAAACAGCACCACAGAAAGTCGCTTACGCTCTCGGTCAGCCCCCTCCTCTCCCAAAAATGGTTCACCCCACCCAAGAACAGAGTGTTCCTCCATGGGTGGTTCGAGGAGGCACAAGTGTGTTGTGTGTCTCGTGCAAATTTGTGTGTTCGTGTGTGCATGAGCCAGAGGGAATAGTGGTAACCATCACCCTAAATAGTGCAATGGGAAAAGAATGCCGATTTACCTTTGCTTCACTGTACTGTACTTTTCAGTTAATTTAGTTTGCCTAAACTGAAAAGAGTATTTAATATTCGGAGAAATGTCACCAAACGGCTGTAAAAATAATGAAATAAATTGTGGCGCCATGGGTAATAGGCCAGAAATACTTCAACAGCTGAAGTGCAGCTCAGCTGAGAAGAACATCCAAATTAGTTCATCCCTGTCGAATTGTGAACTTGATGGTCTCATCCCCTTGTATTCTGCTCCAAAAGACCCGGTAGCTGAGAGGAGTCGAGCTGGGGAAAATCCAGCATTGTTATCCTATTATCTCTGAGATAATGTGCGATATGAGATTTCTTTTAGACGAGAGGAGGCACACTGCTTAAGGCAGTCTGGATCACTGGCAGGAAACTGACGCCATAGCTCTCTTGAGAAAGACTCCTCACCTCAATTGGCCCTTGTACCAAAAACCACTAAGGGAGGGAAAAAAATGTATAGCATGTCTAATAGATGGATGGAGCGAAAGAGAAAGGCGGGGGAGATAAAAGAGGAGATAACATGGGTGTCTGCTAGATGGAGTGATGGGAGAGAGTGAAGTAATATCTAAAGGTAAAATTATATTGTTTTTCGTATTACTGTCTCCTGATTGCTGTCTCCCATATTTGAATGCGTGCCCATGCTTTGGTAATTTGCATGTACATTAATCATTTTCAGTGAGAAATGAACTGCCACACGGCTGCCTGACAGCTGCAGGGGGAAAAAAAAAAGGCAGCGAGAAAAGGCAGCATCCTTCTTGGCGTCAGATACCCAACTCAACCCGAATACTACTGCATGAACCCAACCCGGCTCCGGCTGCATGGAGCCAAGGGGAGATGTAAGGTGCTCATAATCCTGCACCGTAAATCTGTCCAGCATGCATCATATGCTCTCATTTTCTGTGTGTAAATGTGTGTGCGCGCATGTGTATCTGTCGCACTCTCAAATTACTCTGCTCCCCTGAGCCAAGACGGAGGATAAAATATGAATCAGCTAAAGTCTAGGATAGTTTCCAGTCTCTCCAGACTCCCCAACCATCAACAGGCGACACAAGCATACATTCCCACATACACACGCACACAACAGACATATGCAAGCTAATGCACACACACAGAAAGTTTCAAGTCTCTCCACTTCATGCTAAGCTTCTGGCAAACACACTCTCTGCTGCACATTTGACATTCATATCCCTCATATTTGACAAGTGTTTCTCTACTGCAGCTGCTGGAGCCCGTGAATAGTGACAGGATTACGAGAGCCTGTCTGTCTCTTTACCTATAAATCAATTAGATAAAGTGATATGATCCAGCACTGTTATAAATACTAATGCCTGTGGAGACAGGGGTTGCGTGCCTTTACAGAAGATAAGACGATACATATAGCTAGAGAGACATCTTTCTTTCTCTCCTCTTCCTTTCCTCGCATGCAATTTGTCTTTCCTCTTCTCTGCCCTACAGTCGCTGTCACATTTCTCTTCCATCTTTGTGGTCCGTCTAATTTCTTTCTTTAAAGGAAGCCCCGTGACCTTTTGCCCTGCTGGCCCTGCACAGACCGCTACCTAAAGACCTTTTATAAATAATGGTCTAGTCTCTCTGGATTAAAGCATCTGGGTGACTGCCTGGCACTCCAGCTGACCGGCTGCGCAAATGACTGCCCAAGCGTCGCAAAAAGCCCTGCAAACACATGCAGGGGAAACTATGTGTTGTCCATTAAAGCAGGCAGAAACAAATTCCGCAGATGCACTGTAGTTGCAATTGCATACACCCAAAACATAATGTGATGATACTTTAGAGGCATGCATCACCCACAACCTTCCACGCTGACATATGCAATAAAGCAACCCCCGACTCCACCCTCAGCATAACAATGGCAGTATCTAACCCCTTTGGAGTTACTGAACTTCTCGGCGCCTGCAGGGCAATCCCCACACCAAGTTGCCTGTAAACCCCACCATTAGAGGCATTATGAAGTCAACTGCGGGACTACGCAGAATCCTCTGCAGTGACATGCTGTCAGACCAATCAGCGGGCCCAAACACACACGGCTATAGAAGTAGACAGCCCCTCCCCCCTTCACTAGCCCCCATAAAAGACACACACCCACACAACACTATACCAACCCTGACGCTTTGTTCAAATTGACATGTGCTTCTCCCACGCACCAATGCAGTATGCATCCATATGCAGCCGTGGACATATAGATATAGATATAATTAGCCATAAAGACATAAAACACATCCATAAATACAGGGCTTCAGAAATGATCGCTAACTTTCCAGCATCTTGCACGTTTCTACGTTGGATCAGCTTACTTAGTAACAGAACACTGGAAAATAAAGGCCACCGGGGTTGCCATTATTTGACACTGCAGTAGTGGCGGCGGAAAGCGTAATCAGGTTCACAAGTGCACAATTCTGCGTCACGTCCCCTCAGTAAGGAGGCGATTAGGAAGCCATGACCTCAGAATACTGCAGCTTTCCAAGAAGTCAGAAGCCATTAGGTATTTATAGGAGCTTAATGGCACTGTCCAGGTGAACTGGCTGTCTAGCACCCATCATCAAGCCATCAACTAAACCCCCCCCCCCCCCCCCCCCCGCCCACTTACCTCCTACGCAAACTGACAAGCTATATCATTTCATTTCATCAGCAGCTTATCAACAATTATTTTGTTTAAACCGCCCCCCTCCAAAAAAACAGTCTGTTTTGCATCAAATGTTTTGAGATTAAAATGCGGCTGTCAAGCATAATTGCCGGATATGATTGTAAAAATGACATGTATGAGAGTGCACCTGTGTTGAGGGAGGAGGTCGCGTGATTTGGGTTCCTGAGTTCATGGACTGAATCTGAACATGTGACCTAATATTAACCGTGTCAAACTTGGTCTTTCAAGCTGCCTTTACATGCAATGCTACGGTCAATCTCTTATAAAACATGTTTTATGTGTCCACACCAAAGCTTGTTTCATTCTATAACTACCTTAATGAAATACTTTGCATGTCAATTTCTATCACACTCCCAACACAAACAAATTGGGATGCTCATTTGATGAGCCAGGTTCACTTAAAAGTTGAACACATGTATTGCAAGAGCCAGGGTAGGCAGTTGCATCAGAAATTAGGGTTTTACTGTACATGCACACGAGTGAATATTTCCATATGCTGTAAGTTTGGTTCCTGTAAGTGAGCTAAACATGTGACTCCTAAGTGTATGTTTACAATAACGTTCTGTCTCTGACAAAAACAGGTCAGCCCTGTTACTGACATTATGGCTGCCTGCTTTAAACGACGACTTACCTAATGCCCGTCATTACCTGGAATGGGCCCCATGTCTCGCCTGTGGCCTGAAACAGCCCTGGACCTCAGACTGCCACTGTAACACCCCCCCCCCCCTCCTAATTTGCAGTTTCATAAATAGCAGCCTAGGACTTTAGCACTAAAGATAAAGAGGCCCCGTGGTTGCAGACTCTTGGTGCTAATGAAACAAAGTTCACCTGGAGACACACCTTATCAGAGTTCACTTTAAATGGGACAGGCTTTAGGTGTCAGTCTGGTGCTCGTGATTAAGGCTCAACTCTGAGCGGAAACAGAGTTTGTGTTACGCAACAGCAATACGGCAAGTTTTGACAACGGACTGGAAGGCAAAACTATGAATGCATGTTGTTGGACACATGACAGTATTTTGGTTTTTGATTGTACTTAATGATATGAATGACACGCCTTGATAGTTCTCGGTGGGTAGAAATGCAGGTGAGGCTGCCAATAATTCTATATATTTAGTATTTAATGGGATATCTTAGCAATCAGCATTAACAGCCTATTCAATAATGGGTTGATGCTGGAAAACATGTTTGGCTATAGCAAATGTGAAGTCCTGTTTAGTGGTCTTGATTTAATAAAAGAAAAAGAAAAAACTGCAGGATTCCGATGACTGAAAATGCCTTTCGCAAAGAGCCATCATACTGTACAGCCTCTAAGTTCTCACACATTGGAAATAAGTATTTTTAGATTCAACTTAAAAGGTCTCCGCTCAGCACAGGTGCACCATGAGGACAAGCACTGCTGCCCTGCTGATCTCCCTGTCCTCAGATGGCCGTAATGAATAGGAACATGTAGAGGCTGATAACATGGGCAGATGTCCAGGAGGTTTCTCTAGGCTCTCAGCCAGACAGGCAGCGGTGGTGGACTGTGGTCAGTAGCGAACACCCGTCTGAATATTTACATCGTGGACAGCTGACCTGTGATCTCCAACTACAAGTGTCCCTCTGCTGATGCGTTTTTAAACTGATAAGTAGAAAGTGTGTCCCGCTATTTGCTTGAAAATGCATTGGATAGTTGATTATATTTAACCGACTCATTTACTCGCAGCAGATATAGAAATATATCATTAACCATTGTGGTGCTGCTCCTGGTGAAAGGATTTCATGCTCCACTACGGACCCTGTTGCCCATCATGAGCTGCTCTGGGATGAGCAAAGCCTGTTACACAGACACACGCACACACAATGCAAGTGACTACACTCCAGTCTATTACATTCTGCCATCAATGATCTATTAGAATGACTGACGGCTGTAATGAACTAAGACAAGATAACGCATGGCACCATTCATGCGTAACCGATACGGAATCCCATAGTGACATGTGTATGGCACGAGGGGTGAAAAAACATGGTATAATGGGTTAGCGAATAGGAGTAATACTCGCTATTATCACTCTGTGATTAACACGTCAAACGCCCAACAGGCGTTTTATCCCTTACCTTCCAGCCAGCAGAGCTGTTACTGTCGCCCTTATCCTTGAAATAGGGCACATAGCGGACCATCCAGTCGTATATCTGTGACAGCGTGAGTCTCTTTTCTGCGGTGCTCTCAATGGCGCGGGTAATGAGATCCGCGTAGGACTGGTTCCCCCACGCGTTCCGCCGCGAGGATTTGGCTTTGCGCAGCGGTCCGGTCACATCGGGCGCCGCGCCAGCCAGGCATGGGTGCGTCGCGCCCGTGGGTACCGGGGCGCCGGCTGGATGCTTCAGCTCTCCCGGCGTTCCGCCCACGAGCCCCGCTATGCAAGCCGGGACGTCCTCTGGTTCCACCTTGATGTTGGCCAGTGGAAGACCCACGCTGACCTCGTGTACACCAGGGAAATCCTCCGGGCATGGCAGCGGCCAGGTGCACGAGCGAGGCCGGCTCTGCGGCTCGAAATCCGAATCAACCTGATGAGCGTCCAATTCGTCGTCCTCCATCATCAACATTTACCCTTCCGTCGAAAAGGGAATTAATCAAACGAAGAGCAAGGGAGGGAAATACCTCCACGACCCCAATATCCAACTGTCCTCAGTGTCACTTCACGTTGAAATTCGCCTCGTAATATTGCTGTTAAGCTTCCAGTCTGAATCAATAAGAAGCAATTCAACTGAGTAAAAGGATCATGGTGAATACGAGCACAAATCACAGCCTCGCGTGTAGAGATAAGAGAAGTAATAAAAGTAACAATAATTTTTCGTCCATTTTACCTGGAGTAAAATAATCAAACGGCGATAAAGACGCTTCTCATTCAACAGTCCACATCACCTCAAGGCAGTCAATCTCAAGCGCGTGTCAGAGCCAGTCATTGGGGGCTCTTCTCAATCCAGTTGCAGCAACAGATGATAATTCAGATAAGGAGCATATTTGCAAAGCAGTCGTCGATAAATCCTCCAGAAGACAACAGGAAAGGAACGAGGAAAGAAGGGGGAGAAATCACCAGAGCTGCGTTGAGAGCATCCACTGAGGCGATAATGCGTGATTACCGTGAATTATTAAATCTTCCAGTCTGCACGGATTAAGCTGGCAGCCGCACATTCAAGTCCATTCAGCCTGAACAGCACCCAACTGTCTGCAATTATAATGAAGAGGCGTGCGCATGTGACGAATCGATAAATTCCCAGTCTGAAAAATATAAAGAAAGAAAGAAAGAAAAAAAGAATATAGTCCAGCGATCAAATTTCGTAGGCTATCCACTTGTCAGGTTGATAAAATAGTCTTTTATCACACCTTCCTCTTGCTCCCCTCTATCCCCCCTTGCCTTCTCTCACTCTCTCAGATCCCACACATGTTCTCATTTGCTTACAACTCGTTCCGTCGATGTGAACCGAGGATGACGCGCCGGCGCTCTAGTGGAGATGCTGCCAATTGGAGTGCGCTCACGAAATCAATACTCTCCGAACATGATTACAGCGAAACCCCGAACTCCCTCTTTCTCCCTCACTCTCTGTCTCCACCTATCTCACCATCATCTGTGATATGAACGGCGGGAGCAAACCCCAAATTCTTAATGGAAACTCTGCATAACGATCTCTCTGGCAGAGCGTCACACGGCGCTTTGTGTGCCAGCCTCCGCGTCCAGCGGGGATAAAACAAGACAATGTGTAAATTACACAGGGGGATTTTCCGGCATAATCTTTTTTTTTTTTTTTTTGGTCTTTTAAAAATACAGTGCCCGGTCTGTCTTTGTGCGTAGCAAATTGTCCAGAGCAACGTGTGCAGCGTCCAATTGCCCTTCAGGGAGAACTCGCGGTGCGCACGAGGTTTCACCTTTGATGATTATTTGCGGGCTATACCTCAGCCAGTGTAATTTTCTATGGCAATTAGACCGATTTAGTCCAGATTAGGAGAGATTAGGAAACCATAGATTTTAATCCGGGAGTAGCGAGTTGAAATGTTTTTTTTTTTCCAGAGGCCAGATTGAAAGATCATCTCTGCTCCGCACTCCATCCAAAGTCAGGAGGCATACAACACTTTCACATTATCATCTCGAATCGCATTTGCCAAGACTGGACGCCAAAGACACGCTGCTGTGGCAGACACAGCCCCGGTCAGACCCGAGTGCGTAATTCTGCTACACTGACCGAGGGGGGAGATTCCGCCCCTCCATCCCCCCACCCCCCACCCCCCACTCCCCAAATATGACAGCAGGGCGGGCACACAGTCACAGGTGCAAGAATCCCATTGGCTGTTTATTTCCCCCATAAACGCCATTCAAAATTACTTTTTTTGTATGTAAAAAAAGGTGGGATGGATAGCCCCACACAGCACTTCACCTTTCACCTTTTTCCAAACGGTTTGCTGAGCTCACAAGCTATTCTACAGCAACAATCTGATTCGCAGTTTTATGCATATTCACACCTGTTATATTGATGGTTGCTGTATAAAATGTATGGATGGACTTTTACAGGCAGTCCTACTTCTACACACTCACGCACGCAGCACGCAGCTACAATTTCTGATAATATTTGGAAGTTAAGAAGCCGTTCAACGCAAGCCTTTTTTTTTTTTTTTTTAACCGCCCATAGGGGAGATCCTACTCAACATATTCTACACACAGCTGTAACACAACACCCTCATATTTCAGGGTGAGACATGCGCAGCTCACAGGCACCAGTAAAATAAGCACCTGTGCACCAAAGTTGGCTGTAAATTGCCTGAGGATCCCGCCCTCTTCGTGCAAAGCCTGCATGGATGGAAGCTATACTTAAGACGTTTCACAACATGGCCACACTGTGTGCACTCAGACATGACTGATGTTGAGAAACGTGTGTCAAAAATAGCACACTTTTAAATGCGGGAGGATGTGTCACAGTGTGTCATAGAAATGACTTGATGCTAAATATCATTGGGATCAGACGCCTAAAAGGTAATGTTGCTTATAGTTTGTGTAAGACGTCTGCAAGCCCTACTGCACATTTGATTCATGGGAAATGATCTATTCATTGTCATTTGGCCACTTAAATATGAACAAACAGTAAAAATCTAAATCAATGCTGGAGAATGATCCTCTAGTCTGTAATACAAGGCGCTACTTATGACGCTTGTTCACAAGAAAAACCCCTGGGTGCCAGAGTGTTGGTGACACAAGAGAACACAATGCCTTTTGATTACACGTAAAGTTAAAGAAAAGTAAATGGGAAAACAAATGACGGAAGCTCACAGCTGAACCAAATCTCCAGAGAAACAAGGAGAGTTGACTGAGACAAACAAAGAAGAGGGAGGCCCAGGCAGCACGACTTTAAAAACTACATGTGTGTTCGGTCGCCTCGAGGCCGACTGCTACGCTGTCCCCCATACCAGACATTCCAGAGGCAGCGTGGCTGGCTTCAGGCTCTGAGTAGCTGATCCTGGAACAGCATGTTCTGCACAGCAGTAATCACAGTCAGCCACAAGCGAGGCAGAGCTTTGGGCCTGTCAATTTCTCCGCCCGAAAAAGTTCTCTGGAATTTCATTCACATTGGGGAAAGGGACAATCCTCGCTTCCTTGGCACTGCCAACAGACGGCCATCACGACGTTGTGCAATGTGTCCCCGTCAACCATTCCGCCCGGCGGGATTAGGATGAGAGGAAGCTGGAGAAGCCTCAACAACACCCTTGGGAGATCGATGCCTGTTTGGGAAAACACTTCCCCCTGGTTCTCCTCCCCTCTCAGCCATCCACCCACGCTCTCTAACAAGCATATGTGTCTTCAATGACACATGAAGGAGAGGGCTCAAATCCAAGTGCTGGGAACGTTCCAGAGTATACGAAGCTGGATTTCACCCCTCCGTGGCACCGGGCCCAAAGAAGGATGACTTAAAGACTTCTTGCCCCGAGCAAGAGCCAGCTTTTTGTGGCATCTTGATGTGTGCGCTGCCAACTATGAACATGATGTTCAGAGGCAGCAAAGACAATTGATGCCAAGAGTTTTAATTAAAGCTATGTTGTGGAATGGAAAGTAAAGGCACGTTCAGGTGATGGCGTCCCTCCCCGTTTCAGAGGTCGAACAAAATATGTTCATAACTAACGCTATCTTAGTAAATTAGTTGACAGTTAAAGACCCAGAACAACCAAATGGCATACTGTGTAAAACAAAACAGAACGCACGAGGAAATCTGTCTACCTCATATAAAATGACAGTGTGCCGTCAGTTACGTTCTCTTACCGTATTCATAGACTTATCGGGATTTTTGTATGCATGCATTGGAATCGGTGTCACTCCAGTCTGTTTCTTATAATAAACCACGCAGAGTATCATATTGCCTCCGGCAACAAGTTCAAATCCCCCCACTTGTGCAAGTTAAGTTAGTTGGCTACATCCACAATAGCCGAGCAGGCCCGATGCCAAGACACCGATTAGCCTAGCTATGCCCCTGTTCTCCAGGCAATGTGGAGTGGAGGTGCAGTGGGAGTCCAGCTCATCACCAAAGAGCACCGTGCTTAACACAAGTTTAAGTGGAAGAAAGCCAGCAGACTGTAGTGTATATCCATGCTGTACATATAAAGCCTTGGGCTGGGAGGAATCTGCCTCTTTAATACATAATTCACTCAGAGCTGAAACATCATGCTTTCGTCCTAAGGGCCAGTATTCTGCTCGTGGTTGTTGGAACATAAAACTGTCTCCATCAGATAATTCGGGCTCTCATTGACTGGCAACGTTTGTTTACCAAACTATGACGTTAGTTTCAATTTGAGCACAGAACAGCCTTCAAAACAGACAAATATAAAGAATCATATAGCAACATAATGCACAGTATGTTTAAGTGTCCATCGGGTGGTTTTTCGAGGTGCATTTTCTGTATGTGGAAGCAATGTCATCTCACCTTTCCACCTCAGCGAGCTTGTCCTCATCAGCCTTGATATGCAGGTAGGTCAACATGTAGAGACAGCCATCTGCCCTCGAGCTCTCCCTTCAGACACGCTCGCTTTACATTGCAACCCCTGCAAACCCATATTCCTGTGTGTGGGGGGGGTATTATTAGAAGCACTCCTGTCTTATTGCCCACATTATTTTCCTGACAGGATGTGCATTAGTTACTTCAGTCTCCACAGCAGATTGGCCATAATGTTGACACACTAGTGTACAAGCCATTTTGGAAAATTCGGCATGAAGAGGGAGGGATCCTGAGGCAGCGTTAGTGCTTTCATGTGTAATAGTCCCAGCTCAAGTTCCCATGAAAGAGGCACTAATGGGTTAACAGTAGAAATGAGAGGGGAAGAGAGGGGAAATCAATGCTTTTGTTGAGGGGGGAAGAAAGAACGGCTTTCACAGGTCTATGTATCATTAAGCAATTGAGAAAGGTAATTAGAGTTGGGGGGGGAGATGTGCAGATCTCACAGCTAATTATTTCCATGGCAACCACAGCTCCTGTGGATGGTCTGAGGTAGCGTTCAGCTGCCAGTCACACAAAGAGCAAGAGAGACCCCTAGTGGGGTAAAATGTGTTAAATACACAACACAAACCATATTAAATTAGTAAAGAAACAGGTCTTTGTGCAACATATTGAAGGAAACAGCTGCTACAATGTAGTTACGTGTATAAACTGGTATAAAACCGTATGTTTTTAGGTGTTAAACCTGCCACACAGAGAATCAAATCTAGGTATTTTTTAATAAAAGATCATAATCGAGAACTTAAACCACTTAAAGAAATAAAAAGGCCAGGAGCCACCCTGACAACTATATTTTTACTCTTATGACAAATATCACTTGCCTGGAAGTTCATTTTTTAGCAATACTTTTTTTTTTTACTGCTTTACACTTTTACATTTCTTCTATTTATACTTAAATACATCACTATTGTTTCTTCTGTAAACAGTGTACAATTAATTATTAAAGATGTAAATGAACTAGCAAGGAGTTTAACCAAAACTGTGCTGTATGAATTGATGAAAAAGCAATAATGGTTGTCAAAACATCTGACCACGTTGGTTGAAAATGATGGATTGCGATAATATTTTGTATGACTGTAGTCATTTCCAGCTCACATAACAAATGAACCAGAAGTGTAGCCGTTAAGTCAAAGTTGAATTGCATTTAATTTCAGTAACAAATGTAAACATTATTAAAACAAAATCTTGTTTGTCCATGGTGGCCAGAGATGACTTGACCCTCTAAATGATGTCCATTTAATGTCTCTGTTTGCTGGGGTCTATCTTCTCCAGGTGAACCAGGGGCTTAAGCTGCTCAGCAAAGCTGCGCATCTCCTCTGACATGGTGTCCTGGCCAGCGGGAGCCAACACGCTCTGCTCCACCAGGTACGAAAGAGATAGGCGTTCTGTGTTGTCCGTGTTCCCCGGTACCAGGATGCGCGATAGCTTGCTAACCACAATTTTCATAGCACCTTTGCGGAATATGTGCCCGTTGGCCACAAACTCGTGGTCCATGCGGAAGCCCATCTCGTTGAGGAAGTCCGGCAGGCTGTGAGAGGCGGCCACGTCAACACAGTTGCGCACCAGGGCGTGGCGGCTCTTGTCTCCCACTTCGGGTTGGCCTAGGTAGCGTAGGTGCCACGGCGACGTGGGGTGGGAGAGCGACCGCCGGGCACGCAGAATGAAAGGGTTCCCCTGTTGGCCTTTCAGAAGATAAACCAGTTCATGATCTGTGAACGTCTCCGGTTCCATGTTGTCACACAGACCTCGAAGGCGATGCAAGAGGCTTTCCAGTGCCTGGTCAAACACACTGCCTGTGTTGATAAGAGGTAGAGAAACATGCATAAATATAAAAAACAACATGTAAACAATGTGGTGTGAGGTTTGCACAATACATTGCACCTACATTTTATACATCTACACAAAAAAAACACTCCAACATTACATCAACTGAGATGACTAAAGACACAGAGAGGTGAGACAGAAAGGAAAGAGACTTTTGTCACAAACACGGCAGATGTTTTTTTAAGGTTAAAAGTTGTTATCTTTGCTGTGCTGGCAGTATTGCAGTCTCATACAACACTGCAACACATAAGTCCTGCAATAATCCACTCCTACAGGCCATGTGGCTACCTAACACGTATGAAGAGACGTTTCATTGTCTGTCTTCAGCTGTGGATGTTTACCTTGCAGCAGATATTCCATCATATTGATTGCGCCTCCGGTTACGGGCATCGCTGAAACAGGCGGGGCTTCCATACTTCCCCAGGCACCACGTTGTTTTTGACTGTCGGAGTAAAGTATCAATAACAATTAGCGTTAGTTAGCTATATCTGTACCCTCTCCATTAATTTACGAATTTACGCCAATTCACTCTCAAAATTAGCTTGATTCATTACCTGAAAAAATGACAAAATGCAGCTCTTCACTTGATGGGGAACACCGGCTAAAAGTTGGTGTCCGTCTTCTGTAGTCTCCACACCGATGATCCGTAGGCTTCACTGTTTGTTCAATTGACACACGGCTAGCTAGTAGATACCCTGCTAGCTAAAGCAGCTAGCATCTGTTAGCTACAATAGCGTGTTAACTAACGTACCGTGCTACGCGTTTCAACGTTAGCTACGGTACTTGTATTGAATTACCAATTAATGTTAACAAAGAGGTGATTGAAACAAAACAAAAAGATTCCAACTGCTTGGTTTATTTTCGGACAGCAGAAGAATGAACACAGCCGACAACAGTGTATGAAAATCAAGCTTACTTTTCTTCTTCTGCTGCTTTTTCTGCTGCTGTTGCGTCCAACTTTGAGGCGCATTACAGCCACCTACTGGAGTCATGTATGTAGGGTTCTTCTTCTACAGTTGTATTTGTGGCAGAGCAGACGCAGAAGGGGGTTCAACATGTTCTTTAACTCCAGTTACCACACTTGTCACTGATCCTTTCGCACAGCACAAACATGGTGCTGTGTTAACCACTCTTAAGTCTTGCTGTGATTATTTCCTTTCTTCTGTTCCCATTACTTTAAAGTACTACTACGTTCTGACTGAGATGTTTGTATTTTGTGATACCTCGTTCGTTTTCTTCGTCTTCATCTTCATCACACTTTTTCTGCCACCTCTCCATTTCTTTTCTTTTAATCACTGATTTCCTTCTCCTCTGTATTGGCACAGTTATTTAATTTTGTTAGGCTCTTTTTTTGCAAGCTTATCAGCATACTCATTCCCTTTAAGAACTGCACTTCTACACCACCCCTGTACCACATCTGTTTGCTAAGACTACTTAGCAAACATTGACAGTTCAATGAGTATTCAAGTATAGATTTTGTTTGACCCAGTTAGGAAACATCTCAATCGAAAAAGTTCACCCAATGCTTCAAAATGTCCCTTCAGAACCGCTAGGGAAAGTCATAAACACTTTTCTTTCATGAATTACAATCGTTTAAACAGTGGCATTTATGGAACAACTTAATTCGGGACCTTTTCTCTTTACTTTTATGTTACTATACACACAACCACTGTCCCTGTAAGTCATATGGTTGTTTGTTGGTCTCCTAAAGACAATTGATGAATAAACCACTGAAGTCTCCTCTTCCACCTGCAGTAAGAAGAAAGAAATGTATTTTCATTTAGGTTACGCCATCATCATCATCATCATCATCATCACCATCACTTACTTACTCTGCTTCTCCAGCCACAGCAACAAAAGTGAACAGGAAACGCTATGAAGAGATAGAAACAGAAACAGAATCTGTGGTTATGTCAAAAGTCTTACCACTGAAAAGAATTATAAAGAGGAAATTCAATACGACAAAATGCTGAATACTTTACCTGCCAGCAATTTTTGTCTGTAGCAAATTAAAAGTGACATTAAAATAAGAGATGTAAGGGCTGCTGATGTTCCATAAATAACTGCCATCAGATATCCAGGCTTTGTAGGTAAGTCTGTAAAACCAAAACAAATAAGAAATGAAATTCCTTTGATTCGGCCCACAAACTCCTTACAGAGCGATGCAGAAAAACACCCACGTGTTGAGTTGTTGGAAGCAGTTGATGGCCCGTGAGTGCTGTTAACTGCAGTGTATCCATAAAACATCTGCTTTGCACTGCAATTTAAAGACCCATTTGGATCTACAGGCACAGATATCGTCCTTGTGCGTGTCTCCACATTTAGTGTGCCATTTGCTTTGATGTTACTGAATTCCATGTCACACGTCACAGCACAAGAAACAGATGAAACCTCACTGTTGTGTACTGTAATACAGCAAAAAAAAAAAAGATTTTAGGTAAAACCATTTGATTTTGACATAAGACATTGTATGTGTGTGTGTTATTTTCTCACCTGTGATTACACACAAGTTGATAGTAAGTAGCTTCTGCTTGTGTCCATCACATCCACTTTTCCAGCAGGTGTATTTCCCAGCATCTGCTCTTTTGACATTTACAATGTGTAGAGACTTGTTGTGAGTCACAAAGTCTGGTTCTGGTCCTCGTTCGGAGTTCCTGAGTGCAGTCGTGTTACTTGCTTTAAATATCCATTTTAAGTTAATGGAATCACCTGGACATGCATGAGTAAAACTGATGCCTGCAATAACGTAGAATGTCTTAAGAATTTCTATCAGAGTTTCTGAAAATACAAAAAAAGGTTTTGTTTATGTGAATAAAGGATGAATTTTGGCAAATGTATATAACTGGTTATAAATAGCTTTTGGGTGTTTTTATTCATGTTTTAAAATAGTTCTGACCTTTCTTCACGCTGAGGATGACTGTGGGCGGTTTATTCCAACAATTGTCTTGAAAACAATTTTCACACCAGTAAAGGCCTTGATCCCCCTCGGTGAAATTATTGATGACCAAGGAACCATTGTTTAGCACCTTTATTCTGGAGCGAAGGAGCGGCTGATGGTACTCTATTCCTGTCTTATCTTGCAAATATATCTGGCTTGAGTGGCCGTGTTCACTTTTCTTGTAAGACCATTCGAAAGAGTTCGAATCACTTCTGTAATGTGGACAAGGTATCACAGCTCGACATCCCAGCGAGAACAGAAGGTGATTTGTTGCTGCCAAAATACAAGTTTCCTGTTACACACTAATAGTAGCTTGAAAAAATTAAAATATAAACAATGTATTGACAACACTAACTTCCCAAATTGCATTCTAAATACAGTGTAATATGAAAGATTTAGTCATGTTACTTACTGTTTCCTGAGGTAAAGGGGGATGAGTTCCAAATAATAAGTAGAAAAACAAAGCCTTTTTGCATTGTGCTTGAGGCACTCAACCCTCTTGAGAGATAAAGACAATACAGAAGTAATGAAACACCCCCTCAGTGGTTACACTATTGCTGCTCATCAAAACACAGTTCAGAGACGCTGCATCGCACCAGAAGGTTTTTAGATTGAGCATAACAACTAAATTCACAGTGACTCATCGTAAGCGGTCTCACAGCCAATGCACAGGAACTTTGACGTGGCTTTCACCCACACTTGTCTCATGCTGTGAGTTATTCACTTGTTTTTTTTGCATTAGCATAAGTGTTAAGATACAGCATTTGTACTCACTGCTGCTTATACATCTGAGCTCATTCAGTATATATTTGAGCAAAAACACTAACTAATGCTGTGTTGTCGATGCAATTTACTTAACTTCCAAGCTTAAACTTAAGAGTTTCTTGCAGTGATTTTTTAACTCAAGAAAATATATGCTCTGCAGTAACAGTGCTAGGGGTTAATTAAAGAAAGATTTTTTTTAGGTTAACACAATGCAGACACTGTGTCTAGAAAGTGTAACAGTGGAAAAGTTTACATTCATGAGCTTTATGAATCAGATGTGGGCAAAACAAGCTCATCAGGCTCATAAAATGTTCTGGCGCCATTCAGTCATGAGCTCTTTAAAGTTAATTTATTGATGTGGAGACATCTTAAGCAATTGCTCAACAGCACTACAAGCTTAAAAAAAAATTAAAAATCACAAAGATAATTTGTCCTTAAAATCTTTAATGTCCAAAACTCCTATATTTCCGCCAGCACGTGAAGTCACCATTTGAGAGTCGGTCGGAGTGCATTCTTCTCCACTGCTGATGGTTGCATCACACTACCGTGGCCTACTTTAAAGTTCGTTGCGTGCAGTTCTGTCATCTTGAAGACCACCTTCTGTGCGTTCAGAGTTGGTTTTTTTTTTGCTTCAGCGAGGCTCGTTCTCAACCGCAATGGACTCATTTTCGGCTTTCGCGAAACTTCATTTCGGCTGGCCTCAAATGCATCACTTGTTCGCCCTACTTTGTCTTGTGGCCGTCGTCTATCAATTAACAATCTTGTTCGCTCAAAGAAGATTCGCGCTTCGAAACGTTGAGGCTTTTCCGGGACCACCTACGCACTGGCTCTTGGGAAACATGAAGGAGGTAATTCGGATCCGTATAGCAGCAACTGCAACTGCCTGTTAAACATTACTGCTGTAATCATAACGTACGGGCCGTTTAGCATCTTTCAAAACAAAGTTACAAAGTGCTTTACAGTAAACACAAACAAGTAAATAAGTGCAAAAAACTGTTTTGATTCATCCCTGAGCTACCAGTATTTATATTTACACTGTTAAATATTAAAGGGTACTTTATATATTTTTTTGTGTTGTTTCTTTACAGATACATATCTTACATAATTACTGGCCTTTTGGCTTCATCAGACACATGTAGGCCTACATGTTTTTCATTGTGAATGTGTGTTGTCCCTGATTTTAAGAAATGAGTAAAGTACATGAAAAACATGCAACGTGTAAAATAATCATGTATTTTTGAATACACAGCATTTAAGAAATAGCTCAAATGAACTTCACCTGGATCTAGTCTCTATTACATATCCAACATTTTAAAGAACCATTCACAAAGAGTACTTTCAATTTTGATACTGAAGTACATTTTCTGATAATGCATTATTGATTTTTATTTAAGTACAATTTTAAATGCAAGACTTAAACTTGTAATTGAGTACATTTTAATATTGTGGTTTTGCTACTTCTACTTAAATTCTGCACATTAGAGTTCAGGCAAACCAACTGTCCTCCCTCAGCTACAGGACAGACAGGGTTGGTTAAGCTTCCTATATGTGTGTATTTTTCTTTCAGTTCAAACAAGATGGGAAAGACTTGGTCATGGTTGTGAAATGGGGACAGCACCACCCATATGCTTTCCCAATGTGGTTTGGACCCTTTGTTTGTTATTTTATCATTCACCACCCGGATTATGTGAAAACGGTATTCACATCAACAGGTGAGTGAGCGATTATTATGATTATTATTTGTATCTTTACTAATATCGCACACAACATTGGCTACACGTTTTTACAACCAAAGGTCAATGTAACATCATTTTAATTTGTTTGTCTCCCAACAGAGCCAAAAGATAATTTTGCATACAGTTTCTTTGAGCCTTGGATTGGTAAGACCGCTTTGCCCTTCTCCTTCTGCCTATTCCGTCACCAACAGAGTTATTTGTTGTGGCGCGTTACTCACTGACACATACTTTTTCCGTCTCTGTCTTTAGGTGAAGGTTTATTGCTGTCAAAAGGTCAGAAGTGGTTTAGACACAGACGGCTCTTGACTCCAGGTTTCCATTATGATGTTTTGAAACCATACATAAATCTGATGTCAGACTCTACTAACACTATGCTGGTATGTAACTTGTGTGTCAAAGTTGGTTGAGCCAATGAGTGTGTCTCCTGCGGAGATGTCACATCTGTTCTCTCACTGTTGCCAGGACAAATGGGAAAGATATGCAAACAGCAATGAGTCCTTTGAATTGTTTGAACACGTGAGCCTCATGACACTAGACAGCATCTTCAAGTGTGCCTTCAGCGACAACAGCAACTGTCAGACTGAGAGGTGAGTCCATAACGAACCGTTTCACAAGTTCTGGTCTTGGTTCTCAAATGTTTGCTGCTTCAGCTGTCTGAATCATTCATCATTGAGCTTTTAATGATTTCCTACGTTCTCATTTCAGTGGAATAAAGGCATACATCAAAGCGGTGTTTGACCTAAATTACCTCATTAACCTGAGGCTCCGGACATTTCCATACCACAATGACCTCATTTTCTACCTCAGCCCACACGGCTTCAGATTTAGAAAAGCATGCAGGGTGGCCCACAGACATACAGGTAAGATCTTCAAACAATTGCCAAATATCAATCACACTGGATTTGATCAATATGCAATATATATACTCATTCAGTGTCTTGTCCTTCTGAAGAGGAAGTCATAAGAAAGAGGAGAGAAGAACTAAAGGAGGAGAATAAGCTGGATCGCATACAGACCAAGAGAAACTTGGACTTTCTGGACATCCTTCTCTTAGCAAGAGTATGTGATATCAGCTCCCATCCACTGAATCCAGAAATGTACACATGCTCACTTTTGCATTACGTCACGGCATCTGTAATAAACCATAAACCTGTAAACGGCCCTTACATACCAACTGCTACAACATCCTCTCTCGAGAAAATAGTTTGAATAACAGTATTGAGTCATTTAAAGCATAAACAGCCTTAGAGTAGCAGCAATCAAACTTAAAGACCGCAAACAATATACAGCCATCAGCAGCGGCATGAAGTCAAATAAATCATTTTTTTTAAATAAATAAGGCGATGTTGGCCGTACAAAGCTTCTGCTTGCTCTAAACACCCATGACCTCTCTGTGTCTGACTTGCCTTATGGTTTAACTAGTGCTCCACCAGCTTGATTTTCTGACCCTGGATATCGGTTGCTGTAGAGGCAGAATAACACGTTCTTAGATCAAAGATTATATTGTCCTTTGGTGCAACATTTCGCTGGAGAAATAGCTTCCACACCGCGACTTAAAGTCATTCCAACCCGTTCAGAAGGCTGATCATAGGCCTCTTTCAATCAAAATGTTGCGTACATTTTGGAAAATGTGAAATAATTTCTGTTAAGATACAATACACTTCCCACTGACACCACTATAACTCCGGTACATTGTGTATTATTGCTGCCCAAAACACACATTGAATCTCTTCCCTCTAACCCCCCTCAAGTGCTCTACATTTTACCCGATGAGATTTCAGTTGTCACCCGTCTCTGTGACTTCAACAACTCAGCAGTCACCTGACTGCCATTGTTCTTTATCTTTGTATTTTGTTTGTTCTTTTACAATGGTTTCATTGTCAAGTACAGGACTTGTTTAAAAAAAGTTCTTCACAAATACAGTAGTAGTAGTAGTAGTAGTAGTAGTAGTAGTAGTAGTAGTAGTAGTAGTGGCACATTCACAAACGGCATGCTTATTTAGTCTTTTTTTACATTTCTGTCTATTATCTCACCTTCAGGATGAGAATCAACAAGGTCTGTCAGATGAAGATATACGAGCAGAGGTGGACACCTTCATGTTTGCGGGCCATGACACCACAGCCAGTGGCTTGTCTTTCATCCTCTACTCTCTGGCCTGCAACCCGGAACACCAGAAGCTTTGCAGGGAAGAGATCATTCACGCTCTGGATGGCGAGGACACCTTTGCGTGGTAGGCTTGCCACGTGCAATGCAAGTTAGTGCCAGTCAGAGTCTCACTGTTTTTGTTTAGAATATTGACAACTAATGCCTGTCTGTCTGTCTGTCTTTGTTTTAAAGGGAGCATCTCAGTAAAATTCCATACACTACAATGTGCATAAAAGAATCCCTCCGCCTTTACCCTCCTGTGCCAGGAATATCCAGAATCACCACCAAACCCATGACCTTTTTTGATGGAAGGTCTTTGCCAAAAGGTTTGTTTTTACCGTTTTTGGAAAGCTCACAGTCACATTGGAACTCAAGAGTATGTTGCCTCAGTGAAGCAGCATACTCTGATTATATAATAACTTTGACCTCACTGGAGGAATATATTATTAACTTGTATTGGTCACCTACGTAAGTCTCCCATAATGGACCTTTGGCGCAAGTCATGCTTGCACAACATACAGCATACATTAACCCTTTAACCCACATGCTTAAAATAGTTTTAGCAGGTTCCAAAAAAAATGTGTCTCACACACTTTAATATATTAAAATGATAGTCTATTTGCTTTAGTACACCTTCTTTTACAGTCTCTGCACAATCCAAAACCTACTTTCTTTTGTCTCATTTGCAGGTTGTCTTATTGGAGCAAGTGTGTTTGGGATTCACAGGAATGCAGCTGTCTGGGAAAACCCTGATGTAAGTCGAGAAGATCATCCTGAGAAGTCTCTGTGAAGCGAAAGCTCAACTACATGGTGTACATGGAATCAATGATAAAAGTAAACTTCTGGTCCCTCGTTGCTGTGGTGGCCCAACACCCTGCATCTACATAACAAGTGACATCAAATTGGTGCACAATAAATGCGAACCCTATGGTGACCTGGTTCCAGAAGATCTGCCACTGTGTATTCTCTCACTGTATTAGGGGTGTGAGTGGGCATAGACTCGAAAGATTTTCAGGGGACAAATTAAGAAAAATGTGTGATCTATGCCCTTTCTTTTTATCTTGTGTGTCGAAACAGGAGTTTGACCCACTGCGTTTTCTTCCGGAGAATGTTTCCAGGAGGTCCCCACATGCATTCGTGCCCTTCTCAGCGGGGCCAAGGTATGTCCTCACCTGATCATTTGGACTGGCTCACTATGAACTAGGGCTACACGACTACTCTCTTTCTAATATTTTTTCCATCTTATCAGTCTGCACAGTATGTGAATGTGTAACCCCTTTTCCACAACACAATACAAACTGTTTACAAACTGGGGTTACAGTAAACAAGAGAGCTCAGTGTAACTCTGGATCGATCCAATTCAAAACAACGCACAAACCCCAAAAGGAAATACCCTCTGCACATTTTTGGATTTTAGTAAACAACTCTTGCTACCAGCAGAAAAAAAATGCAATCATTAACTGAACATCAATTTACGGGCAACATAAAAGTTCAACTTTACAATACAATTGCCCTGCAGTAAGAACCAATTTGGAAAAGCTTGTTGCTAGTTAAAGATAACTCACCAGTTGCACACATTTCAAATATCACCTCTGTATTGACTTTAACGAACATCTAATTGTATCTGTAAGCCACTGAGGGGCGAACGGGAGAACTTGTTCGGACGCGTGTTCTATTCTACAAACGAATCGCTCTCCAGTGCGCTGTATCTCCTTCGATCCGTTGAGCCATTTATTCCCTTTCACATTTGCCACAGCATTAAATCAGCATTGTTTAATCTTATTCCTACCAATGAATCTGAGCATGCCAGTCATGCTCTCACACCACCAGGTTACAGAACACTATAAGACACAACAGGATAAGACACTGTTGGCTTCCCTTCCACACACACCTGATTCTCATCACCAAGCGCTTACCTATATGCACCTAACCCTCACCCTCTACATTAATGCTCCACCCTGTGTTCAATGTCAGAACTGCGTGGATAAATTCACCTTACGTTTCCCTCAAAGATAGAATAAAAAAACTACATTATGGCTCCAACAACTTCATTTAGCAAAGGATTCATTTTTAGAAATTGTGACAATCTGTCTGAGCAAACAGAGGAAAACTCTATTAAACCAAAGAAAACTGAGCATGGGCTCCATGTTATCCTCATGTACAGCATGGCTAGTACCATATGTTTTTGTCATGTCAACCCACATCCAAAAATAATAATAATTAGTAAGTACTGACTGTTGATTTAAATTTCAACAACAATTATTTGTTTTTTTAAGTTCTTTAAATTCACTAGTTATGGCATGTTGCTGTCCTCTTATGTTGCATTTCATTTCTCATCATGTTTCTGTTTTCCCCACTCAGAAACTGCATTGGTCAGAACTTTGCCATGAATGAGCTGAAAGTGGTGATGGCCCTGACACTGAAGCGATACCAGCTGATAGAGGACCCCACTCAGAAACCCAAGTTAATTGCTAGAACGGTGCTTCGCTCAATCAATGGCATCCACATCAAGATCAGACCTGTAGACCCACATGGGTAAATGCAAAAAGGGTAAATGCTCAAACCTGAATGAAGAACTTTAACACTGATGGGTAATAATGAAATAGATAACTCTAAAGTATTTTATTTAGTGAGTGAACATTTTGGGTTAGAAATTACTTGCTGAAAAAGGAGTTGATATTTTTGCACTTAACATGTGGAAATAAAGAATAAGACCTCTATTGTGGTAGGACTTATTCACCAAATCAGTTTGAATAATTTCTTCATTTGTAAATGCACCATAATATAGTTTGTGGTTTCTGTTTTGTAGTGATGGGGGTTAAGAACAGGTCAAAGCACCAAAAGGTTTAGCCGATTTTCTTTTTTTTTGTGTTCATGAGAATGTAACGTGCACTTTCACATTACTGATCAAAGAATAAAGTTCTTAAAACTTTAAAGGGCGCTGCCGCTGTGTGAACATTGACTTTTGTCTGTGCTACATGAACTCATTTGAATCAGGTCCAAAGTACCCCTGGGGTATCTGGTCAATAAATACCTCCAGAATTAAGCGTGAGGAAATATTTGTTTACGGTCTGTTTGCTTAGAGGTCATCGAATTCAACATTTAATCACAGCTGAAAACACTGCAGAGTTTTGAGTCAAAAGTAATTCATTTTTTATTTACAGTCATATGATTACAAAATCCACAAGGACAAAAAGTCACCAGCACAGTTTGTAAAAGTGAAACACCTCGTCTTTTGTTGATTTCTGATCTCCAACCTTTCACTTAGAAGATCCCATGAAAACGGCTCGTCTTTAGTGCTGACTTAATGCTATACCAAAGAAGTCCAACCATTACCATCTGATCTTTCTGCATGTTCCATCAACTCGACCTTCCTCTTATAACTACTTGCCTCTTTGTTTAAAATAAGATCGACAGCTTGCAGTCTGATGCCTCTCTCAAAAGGGAACACCAGTTAAGTGAGAATACTATTTCATGGGACCTTTCCATTTGGGAATTACAACCAGTTACATAATGTTCCAAATGTGTGACATGAATAACTGATATTCTGTTACTGTGCAAAGATGGTTCCTACATCTCAAGTCAGTTTGGGGCAAACTAAATATGAACAGTTCACTGTATAAACGGCACTGTAGTCTTCTGCAAGAGAAAGATTAACACGCTACATGACCATCAAAACGTACTAAATCCAAACCTTTTGTGTTTTGACGAGTATTTCTTAAATTTTGCAGCTGAGTTGGTATTTGTTACTGTGCTGCTGTTCCAATTTAAAACTATATTCTATTCCTACATAATAGTCCAATTAACTGCCAACATAGAAAACTGTAAAATTCTTGTATTTACAGTTTACTACAAACCATTTAAAACTCAATATATATTAGAAAAAGATGTGATCGACATGCTGTTTGGACACGGCAAGTGGCTTTTATCTGCAGAAGAATCCAAATCAGTAACGACGAGTTTGCATCATCACTTTCACGAGATGCTGTGTAGATTTTGAAATGTTGAGGTTGGTGCAACAGGCCATAAACAATAGCAGCTGCAAGTCTGCAGCTAGAGCTCACTGACAACTTTGACCATTGTGCACAAGTCACATGCGTCAAGTGGCTTGTTGGACAAATACAACACACTTGAGTTGATGTCCTATTGGTCTAACCCATGTAATGGAAAGGCTTCACATTATATTAAGAGGTTTTTCAAAATAAAAAGCAGCCCTGTGTTTTGATAGACACTGACTTCATGTCTGGATTCTGTGACTGTCATCACTTTTCAAGCTAAAATATTTCATATAAAAGTATGTTTTTGCCATTTGTTTAACAGCATTATCAAAACACTGACGGAGTGAAAAAAATGTTGAAAAAGTGATTAGTAAAAAAAAAAAAAAAAAAAAAAAAAAAAAACACAACTTAACCAAAACAACCATATCCATGTAGCCCGTCGCTCACAGACAAACGTAGGCAACCGCACCTCTGAGGCTCAAATGCTAACTGCCGAGTGTTGTACATTTATGTTAATTGTGTTTGCAATCAAACTTCTGCTTTATTCCTGCCAACTTATCAACTGCTGACATAGCAATGTTGGTGATATCTTGTGACAGACCCCACTGTGTGGTGCCTTTTTTTTTTGTGATGACAATGAGTAACACGACAAATAAAAATAAAAAAAACTAGATTGAGATGTGAATGACTCCCCCTCTGCCAGGTCACAGTCCCTGCTGTATCTGCTGGTAACCTGAGAGTCAGCAGCTTTGACAAACTGTTAGATGAGTAGTGAAGGGGTGGGTTTCTTCCCCGGCCAAGCTTCTTTGGCATACTTCTTTTTGCGTGGCTCGTTGTGTGTCTCTGGAAGGTAGGGGGCTGTGACGGGGGTGGGGTTGAGTGTGACGGGGGGCTGGGGAGCCTCTGGGGCCAGGTCCACCTCGGGCGCCGGATTGGGGAAGGGCAGAGGAAGCCCTCCCTGCATAGCAGCACCTCCCGGAGCTCCTGTTGGCTGGTTCTCGTGACTGGTGGGGGGCAAGTCCCCATAGAGACCACCACCCAAGCTGTAGCTGTGGATGCGCTTTGAAGTCAGGTCGTCGAGACCAAGAGTGTTGTGACCCTCTAATCTGCGTTTCTGCAGCAGAGAGGACATCACCAGTTATACATATTCCAAGTGATATTTTTGCTGAAACATAGCACCGGTATTGTGCTGTCTGACATAAACGCTCACCTTGATGGGGATGACAGCAGTCTGCACCATGTTTCTAAACCGTCCCACCGAGGGGTCTATATCCTCTGTAAGTATTAAAAATACAAGTGTTAAAATTGATCAAGGAATGTTTTTGTTTCCTAAAAGAAGAATAGTAGACATGCACATATCTTATCACATAGCTTTAACACATATGACATAGCTTGGTTATATATTTACAGCATGATGGGAGGCCCCTCACTGCACAAACCCATTCAAAATACTTAAATTACTTAGTGGTGCTACATTTTATATTCAGAGCATTATTATGGCTGCAAACAAGTAGTGGAGTAATGTCTAGCGGATTAGAGAATGCTAACTAGCAAGTTCACGGCCGCCGTGCTGCACTGCGTTTAAAGCTGATAATGCCATCCCGACCGACAGCGTCGTCGCAAAAGTGTAGCACCCACCCTCCAGTTCCCTCTCAGCTAAATACTGTTAGCTCTGTCTGCACTTTAGTTGGAGTTTGCACTCTTAGCTGCAAGCCGCCGGCTCAGCTATATTAATGTTAAGAGCCGTTGCAAAGCAATAGAAATGCTCCAAACCTCGTATAAAGCACCTTTAATATTTTTACTGCCTGTAAAAACAACTTGAATGAGGTCCAAAGTAAAATCCCCTAAAGGTCCTTTTCAGTTACATGCTGTAAAACCTCCACACAAAGAACCTTGAATTCTTCATACCTGGGTTAATGATGGAGTCATCCTCATTGAAGGTAACCCTGGAGTTCCTCCGCTTCCTCTTAGGCCTCTGGATTTCCAGATTACCCTCCTCAATAGTCAGTAAGGATATGCGCTTGTTGTGAGCCGTGTTGAACTCCGTCAGGTTCTGGCAGGATGCAGACAGGCATTGATAACGATATTAATAATGTTACACTTCATAACGCCTATTAGCAGTCTACCTTGTGGGCAACAAATGTGATGATTAAGAGACAAGGTGCTGCCATTTTCTTTCTCCTTTTATGTAATTCATATTTGAGAGTATGAGAATATCGTTATTATCGAGAAACTCAATGTACCTCCAGCTCCGTCTCTTCCTCTGGAAGCCCGAGCAGTCCTTTCAGCTCCTCATCCTCTCCCGTCTTGCTGTCCCCGGTGCCGGCGGTGCCTTGGGTCTGGGGTTTCTCTCTGATGGTGTAGGTCCTTGTTGAGGCCCCAAAAGATACCGTAGAGTCTATGGGAACTTGCTGAGGCTTGTGTGCCTCCAGACGGATGTGTCCCAGGAAAGTACCGTGGGCTAAAATGGCGAAAATCAAATAAAGTGGTTTGCAAATGTTAAGACAGAATGTTACATTACCGTGGATAGACACTGGTTCTAAATACAACACGAGTATACAAGTGTGATTGTGAGTGATGTCTTACTGCTGTTCAGGTCTATGAGAAAGAGCCTTTTCAGGTGTTTGTGGTAGATCAGGGCAGCGTGTACACGTGAGCATGACTGATGGTCGATGGTGAAGTCACACCAGTCCGGGTTCCTTCCAAACAAGTAGTACTTCTTTTCATCTATGATCAGTTTCTACGGGATGAGACAGTTTCCGTGAATCGAGGTCTTTCAAACAACCGGTTAACAGGTGATGTAAAATGTCTTTGTGCCTCTGAGCCATAACCGAGCAGTGTTTCTTCTCACTGAAAGGCATAAATATCAGGGCTTATTCTGCTCTCGCACCGTTTGAAGCCATGAAGCCAAAGAAAGTCCCAGTGTGCAACACATCTGGGACAGATTGGAACGTCAGGCTTGTATCTGGTGCATTCAACTCATTTGCATAGTCAAATAGCCAAGTTACCTCCATCAGTTTGTCTCCCTTCATCACGTCTAGGTGGAGACCCTGAGGCGGCTTGCCTGCCCTGAAAGATAACACTTGGTGAACGTTTTGAACATATACAAAGTCTACAATCTGAGCATTTGTGCAGTGTTGATCATTACAACAAATCAATAGCCGAGCTTTGTTTCTCTTGATATGCATGAAGGTTTATTCATAATAAACGAGTGCTTGCACGGTGGACCTGTACGTTAGTCCTCTCATGGAAATGTTTGTAACGTTCGTCATCTATTGCAATGCTATTAAAGACCAAGACGAAGGCAAATACATGTTCAAAAAACGCACTATCAATACCACTTAACCCATTCTGCTCATAACAGACACCCTTAACCTTAACACGTGAAGCATTTCCTTGTAGAAACGACAGTAAAACCTAACGCCATTTGTAAATGAATACCAACGTGAACGAGTTAGCTTGCTAGCTTGCTTAGTTGCTAACGCTAGCAACAGTTACTACAAGCTTATCTCTGCGTAAAAGATCAGTTATATGAATGAGTGAACGCTGCTTTGCTCATTTGCATCTGGTATTGCATTACAAACAGACAGCTACAACTTCAGCATGTGGATTTTCTCACCATGATGGACAATCAAAAGGAGGAGCACTTTCTTTGCTTATTTTAGTCGCCATCTTGCCTCATCTTCTCATAGCCGAAGTGCATGCTGGGTAAACGTCACTTTGGGTTACTGGGAGTTGCTGTCTTCCAATTCTAACACATCACATCCAAAGTAGAACACCGAATAGATTTATTAAAATATATTATGTCCACACAATTTAGACTGAAATTGGGTCAAATTATCACTCTGCTAACATCAAGTGGGGTCAATTAAAGTGAACAAGAAAAACTTTGACTTTGAATTCCCTGAACAACCACTAGGGGTTCTCAGAGCCCAGCTATACGACTCTAAACAGGCATGCTGCAATAAAATGTTTTTTGAAATTTGTCTAATTCTTGTTGTTGTGGAGAGATAGTAGTTTGAGAGTGAGGGGCTTGTGATGTCACAGAGGATGCCTAGTTTATTCTACAGGAAGTGAGGGGGTTGTCTTACTATAAGTGGCTTAACTAGTTTGAGAGGGTATATTCCCTGCATGAAAGACGTGTCACGGCACACTTTGAAGAGCACTGGAAGGTTGTATTTGGAAAAAAGTGTGGTACAATTCCCAAATTTCCTATTATGGGTATATATCCTGGAGTATCTTGGTCTATTTGCTTTATTGGGTGTTAATGCTGCAATCAAATGAATAACAGAATAATATCTTTGACATCTTCTTTCACAACTCAAAGTCATATCACTTGTCCTCCACCTCTAAAAATGCAAGCCTTGTGCAAACAGCTCCTGTGACTTCCTCATTCACATTTGTGGTTTTTGAGTGAGAAAGCAACCTCCTTTTATAATTCACTTGACATTTGCTGTCTGCCTTCACTTTTGATCGCAGCACACTGAGGCAACAGTGATGGCAGACTCGACTGCTTTGCCACTTCAACAACTGATTGCTTCATTTGACAACTCTTGTCTGCCAAAAATTCTACAAGTTTGCTCTGGAGTGTATTTCCAAGGTAGGCATTTGATTGCATTGTTGGTTGTGAACAAAAACTGTGAGGGCAGATGAGGACAAAAGAGATTAGAGATTATTTGAAGAGATAAAGATCACTGCAAATCCTAACCTGTCTGGATATATGTTTTGTGTCATTGTATCTATTGAATACATTTGTATGTTTCCTTCTTTTCTCAACCCCAAATCAGACATTATTGCCAAATAAGATAGTGATTATTTGTTTTAGTTGAAAGGTTTTTATTTCTCATGAATGGTAATTATGAATATTTATTTTGTATTAGTTTAGAATTGTTATCTATCCCTGATATACCTGCTCATTACTGATCTTGTTATTTAGTTCCTTATTTGGTCAAATTCTCAATCTCCGTTTCAGGGTCTATATATGAACTTTCTGGGAGTGAAGTGAGCTTTTCTACTGGGGATCTAATAAAGGTTATTAGCATTGAGCTGCTGTCAGTTTGCTGCGAAGACATCGGCAACAATGAGACGTTTGAGCTGCCTATCAACCACACAGGTTGGTCTTTAGACACGATTCTTGTGAGAACGGATAGTATTGCTTCATAGCTGCCCGCTGACACTTGGTGCTCTTTCCTCAGGTTTGTTCAAGGTTGTTCCAGATGAGATGCCGTACGGTACCATCGAGGAGCTGGTGAGCCTGAGGCCCGTGGGCCTGGAATCCTGCCTGCCCTTCACGTTCACCAGCTGCTCCAAGATCAGCGTTGGCGATTTCACACTGGGGGCCGACAGAGCTTTGACGGTGCTCTCCATTGAGCGGCATGAGGGCCAGGAGGATCAGGTGCGCTGCCACGTTCGAGGACAACAGGAAGCCTCCGCAGAAGTGTGTATCCCAATTTCTTCCAAAGGGGAGTTCAGAGAGTGCGAAAACGAGGAGCGCTTCACTCTGCACGAGATCATGTCCTCGCCCAGCCTGCGCAGTCGACAGTTTCGCTTCGTCAACACCACCAAATGTGAACGGCGACTTGCCCTCAGCCCAATATACCAGGTCCACGCCATGATGAGCAGTGAGAATAACTTATTTTCATTTTTCTTATATGTTATCTGTATCTTGCAAACAGATTATTTCCATATTGTTTATCTGATCAAAATGTCTTAAACATTTTTGTGTGTAAATTACCCTTACCCTTTTTTTGTAAGTTGTTACTTACTGACTGCTTACATCTGTCCTCGACTACTCCTGAATGGTTTTCTGTTGCCTGTTTGTTGGTTCATATATCGTCAAGGTGGCCAGCTTATTTGCCCGTTCTTTCATCTCTTTCCTCTCTACTTTAAAAAAAAAAATATATATTTTAAAATTATCTTTTTTTAATAACATTATTATCCTTATGACGATGATTATGATTATAATTGTTTGTATAATAATTTTTCTTCTTTCTCATTGTGTGTCAATCACAGTGGAATGTGGTTTTGGTTTACTCAAGGATAAGATCTTAAAAACCCAATCATTAATCATTAATCAGTATCATTTAAAGTTTTACACTGTATACTTTTACTAGTTATACTTTTGCTTATAGTAACGGTTCTGAATATATTTTCCATCACTGAAGAAGCACACTGTACTTCATCAAGTTCCTCTTCTACATTTGTTAATGTAATTTCTCTAATTTTTTTTGTACAGTGAGGAAAAACATCTTCAAGTTTCCGTCCAGCTTAGAGGTGGATGTGGTCGATGTCACCGAGATGTGCAATGATGTGAATTTTGTGACCCCGCTCAGTCTGACGGAGGTCCTTTCCCAGCCGGAGGAATCCTTCCCGACAGTAGTAGAGATATTGGAGGGCCCAGAAACCCACTCTCTGTTCAGGTGCAGCTGGCTGCCAGAACTTAGCAAGAACAGCCACCTGGTTTTCCACAAGACAGGAACATCTGCCATGGTTTTAATATCCAGCTTGAAGAGCCGAAAGACACAGCAGTACTTCCTGGTATCTCAGCAATATGGTGGACGATTACGGAGGCGGCCAAGAGAGTTTAGTTCAGTGTACGAGCTGTACGTCGCTTCAATCCAGGCACCAGGTCTGAAGGTGGGTGTAACAAGGAGCTATGAGGGAGATGAGGAGGAAGGCCTGCCTGCCCTCAGTGTGGGCGAACAGCTGGAGGTTGTTCGCTGCGAAACGATGGAGTTGCCTTGTGATAGCAGCCAGGGACAGCAGCAGGCCGTCGAGGCTCTTTTGTGTCAGCGTCTCCAAGAGCCAGATGATGATGATGATGATGATGATGATGATGATGATGATGATGATGAAAAGGAGGTCAAGCAGGGGGATGAGAGAGAGGAGATCTTTCTGCCTCTGTACATGCAGGGCCACTTTGTGGAGGTGATCGCCGATAACAAGAAGTACAGACTCAAAGACTTGGGTAAGCAGTTTAGTTTGCCACTGGATGTGAAAGTGGTGAGCCGGGATACTGAACTCGAGACTGATCCCCTGTTTGGGTTTGCATGTCTCAGAATAGAGGAGGCCCTGTTAGAGCCCACCATACAGGCAAGCTTTCTGCACAGGCCAGACCACTGTTTCGAGATCCCGACCCAGTGGCTCTCCATGTCCGTCTCTTTTACCAAGGACGCCCTGCCATGGCCCAGCGGTCAGCCACCTAAGTGCCATGTGGATCGGGTTACTGAGGTGACAGACACGTTCCTTTATGAATTTCGCAAACAGGGGAACTCGGATGCAACTCCTCCACCTCGACCACCAAAGCGAACTCCGTCATCTTCGAAGTCATCCAAAAAATCCTTAAAGAAAACACCCAAGGCAGACAAGTCCAAGCAAGGACCGGACAAAAGAGTCCCAACCAAGGAGTTAGCCGATTTGACTTTGGATAGCAAAAGAAGGCCCCCAGCTCCTCCACCTCCAGTAAGTATGGCTTTTCACACATGTATGGCAGTCCCGCAAGCTATTTAGAATCTATTGTGCTTGAGATGAGGTTGTGTGTCTCACCTCGCTCTGTAAAACACACCACAGTGTAAGTTTGTTACAGATAAACACATTTTCTCACAATGTGACATTGAAGAAATCTTAATCCGGTCAGAAATGGCAGGCTATGCAAATACACGATGCTTCCACTTTTTGCTGTGGTAAAGAAGGCGTGCATGTAATAAAGCTGAATGTTTCTGACTTCCTCTTATCGTGCAGGCTATCTTGGACAATCAACCGCCGCCACTTGTACCCCGAAAGCACGCATCAGCTCAAGGGACAACAAGCAAGGCTCTGCCAAACACTTATGTGGAACTAGAGGAGTCGAAGAAAAAAGGTGAAGCTCTTATTGCAGACTCTTATCGCATAGATTACAGCCATACTGACAACACTTAAAGGACAATTCTGACATTATTCTATCCTTTTTATTAAGACCAAACCAACAATTCTTTAAAAAATGCTACATTACTAATTATTGCAGATGGACACTGTAGTTAGCAAATGTTACTCCATGGTGCATTCGTTTGGGACGACTTTTGGATACAGATTAATACACATTTGATGCTCTAGTTTTTATTTATGGCACCACTGATTGATTAACTGTAACCCTTCTTCTCCTTCTTCTTCAGGAAAGCTGTGTGAAATCGCAGCAGATGTGGACAGCGACCATGACTATGAAACTGTGGATGAGACCTTCGCAATGGTAGTGAACAAAGCAAAAGAGAATGTCTTATATTACTAAAGTTTTGCAAAACCGCAGCAGCAGAATATCTGATATGGGTGGCTGAAGTTAAGAATGACGAAGGAGAATGTCTTATTGCAGCTTTTAAGCTCTCTTATCTCGAATAATTGTATTTTATTGTACCAGTGTGGCATAGACTTGTATTGTGAGTCTTTATAGTCAGACCAAGCAACATGTCCATGAAATCCTAAATATTGTTTGCATAAAATACCATTATACTGTGTAATTCTTAGCAGTTTTTTAGTCCATCCTGGAGCATCAGCAACACCTTCCAGTATAATAGTCATATCACAACACCACAAACAGCCTTGAAAATGACCAGAGTTGAATCATTACCTTGTTGCCTCAGAGTAATGCATATTTATAAGCTTCCCAGAGTATTACATTTTGTTGTACAGGTATTTAATGATGTATGTGGAAACCTCCTATAGTATCAACGTATAAATACAAACTATAAAGAGAAAAGGCTCAAACCAGTCTGGGAGGCACGAGTCATGTGTAGCTTCTCACATGCATGGCCATGTAACGGTAATACAATAGCAGAAGCGTTCCCAGTTGTGACATCAAACTAATGATCTGAGAGTACATAAATGTGCCACACAGTATCAAATCCTACTTTTACTTATTGTTTTGTGTTTTGAAATGATGGTTTTGACTCACTGCCAAAGAAATAACAAAAGTACAAATCAAGTTGATGTACTCATTTCTTTCAAGGTTGGAACCATTTATTTCAACACCATACTGTAGATTCATTTGTCTGGAGTTTTATTTTGTATTTAAGAGATGTATCATCACCATTAAAGTGGCTTCAGAATCAATTCAGACCGATGTGGTTTATTCAAATTTGATTCAAAGCTGTGAACCAGCGCAACCTTGTTGACAGATGTTGGTCTACATTTCTGCATCCTGCCCCAACTGAATATGCCACAGGTGGACTTAATCAAGACAGACATCTAAAGTGGGACCCTAAGATACCGGATGCAAAATAGTTACTTCTTACACATGAAAATGAAATATTTCTGCATTTACATGTTAATTAATTTGCACGGGAAACGGGGGTTGTAATCGTCTCAAGTGATGGTTAAATATAAAATGTGGAAAGGTGAAAGGGCCGTAACAATTTCTAAGCCCACTGTACAGACTACATTATGTTTGAAAAATATAACTTAAAAAGTGTATGTTTAAATTATGAAACAAGAGTTCCTGGTAGACGACCCAACTGTATTTTGTATAATCTTTTAATTTTGGCAAAAGTAAAGTTACATAGACAAAAACATATTGAGTACTAACGTTCCAAATATTAAAAATTACAAAATGCTTTAACAATGGAGGTGAGAAAAACAGAATAACAGTATTAACAACGGCTTCCTCAACAGCAACACCTTTGGGAATTGCAAAATAGCAGAAGTGACCTCAGGATGACAGGATGTGTGCGTGAAAGGGTCTCGCCAAACCTAAACCATGTGTTCTTGAACTAACACCAACCACAGAACCTGAACAGAGAAAGGATTCTCAGGGCCGAGAGGTTGTGATTCTAATACGTATTGACTAGTATCACATTAAACTCAGATAACTGGTGACAGAACACGAAGGAGTCTATTCGTCGTTGTCTGTTGATTTGTAGTGATCTTCGTCGATGGTGGAGAAGATGTGACCTTCGTTGCTTAGGAATTCCACTGCTTGCCTGTTCAAGCACAAAGGGAGATATGAATAATATGTATTATCTTTTTATATAAACACAGTGAAAATCATGAATTCAGTGTCAATGAGCCATCTCCCGAAAGTCACCCGATAATATAGTTAGTTCAATGCTCTGCCTATCATCTCAGGGAGAAGTCGTTAATAGTAACTGACTTTACTTTCCAAATTCACCAGAGTGTAAATATTATTTTACGGGTTATCCCTTTACGACTTAAAGCGGAACTTTGCTTACTTTATGACATTCATGCTCATGATTCCGAGTCTCTGCTTCAGCTCCTGAATGCTGATGCCCTTTGCGTCACGGCTGCCTCTTATCAAACTCAGCACCTTGTGAGATAAACGACATATTAGAAAAGATGCACACAGCCTCAAACTGCAAATACACAAAAACATTTTTGCTGAGTGAACTATTTTCATGTCATTCATTGCTATAATAAGGAGGGACAGGAAGTGAGAGAAACTGAGCAACTGTGGTGCAACTTTTTCTCTGTGCATATGTGAAAAGGCAAATATCAAAATCAAATATTCATTTGTAGATACGTTTTTTGTCCACATTGTTTTCTCGTAATTAAGGAACTTGATTATGACATTGATCACAAAGTCTAACTTCTCTCTAATGGTCAAAAGTCCATAAATTAGTGTTAACAGTCAAATTCATTCATGACAATTTAAAAGTAGTGTCTTAACATTAACACATAATTTAGGCTCACCTGGTTCTGGTTTGCACTTAACCCATTGTTAACCATGTCGTTGGCACCTTCATAGCTCCCTCCCCGGCTCTCCACGGCCGGTCGAGAGATCGGCGTGACGTCACAGCCCGTTCCACCTCCTCCTCCAGCACTCGACTGAAAGAGACACAAAACAAAGCTGTGCTCACTGTTTCTTGTTAACAGCACAAAGAACATCCCCAAAGATAGAAGATGCATACTTAGAAATGTGGAACGAGCTAATTCCAGTCCTGAGAAAAGCAAATGTACTGCATAACAGTGTTTTACTGTATACTCTCCTCGCAGAAGAGTTGTACAACAAACATCATGTTTGTTCTTTTCAGCTTCACATTGATGTGTGTGGGTGTTTTTGCCAGCTCATCGGTATCTTTAAAGTGATGGGATGTTCATACTAGATGAGTTTCTCAATGCTAACTTAAGCAGGACACGATAGACTGATAGCTCAGGTTTACGTTGAAGATGGCTCACCATGGCTTGAGGTTTGCAGAGCGCCAAGTGCGCTTGAACAACCTCCAGCATGTGCGAGGTGATTTCATTCATGTCCTCCAGGGGCCTGACACTGAATGCCACGACAGATCTGTGGTTCTGAGGAAGACAAGGGGTCAATTGCTTGCTAGAAATTACAACATCACAAGTGCACAACCGCTCATGAAAATAGCTTATGTGCCAAAATGTCAAGTGGGGACATGGCTTCACAAGAGATCACAAAGCAGTGGTTCCTCTTTGTTTCTAGGTACTGTGGAGAGGGTTTTTAAAAAACAGGAAACTCACCTGAAAGGAGCGCAGGTTGCCAGAGACTTTGACATATGTGCCCGGAGGCAGGACAGTGCTGTCCACACCGGGGTCCTATAGATGCATCAAAACAACAGCGTTGCTAAGAGGCTTCATTTGAGTAGTTTACCAAAAAAAAAAAAAAATATGCTTCAGTTTCTGAACAGGAAATAAAACAACGTTCCGCTTTTTACTGTGTTTACTTGTGGCAAAAAGTGTGGGATTATTGGTCTGGGTGTTGGTCTTCCATTCTGCTGGTATGACCTTCTCTATCCTTGCTTAATCCACTCAGTCTATGTGTTTCATGTATATATTGTACATTTTACAAAAAGTGACCTCGTGCACATTGATGAACAGCAATGATCTCTGTTGTTAAACTACCAACCAAGCGATCAAATGATCTCACGTCCAAAAATAAACTAGTTCTCCTTATTTGTGCCAACAACCTCAGTCGAAACAGGAAGTGTTTATATTTTACAGTCATTTAGATGTAATACAGTAGCGTTGCTTAAATTGTTTGTGCGAGGATCAAAGCTCCGTCACTGACCTCCGTGTCCACCCACTGCTTCACGTCCATAGGGGCACCGGTCATGTCGTCGACCTTGTACTGGATGTTGGTCATGGATTTGTCTGTGCTCCTGATGATACCCACGATGGTGACCTAAAAACACAGAACACGAACCGTTGTCCAACAGTGAGATCAACAAAAAGTGCCTTACAGATTATGTCCATTTGAATGCTGAAATAAGAAGTTGATCACTAATCTGACAACTAGGGATGTTACTAACAACTATTTTAATAATAGGTTGATCTGATGATTATTTTCTTGATTAGTCATTGTTCTCTATTAAATGTCAGCAGTCCAAACCCTCTAGATCAGGGGTCCCCAACTGGCGGACCGCGGTCCGGATCCGGACCCAGATGCAGTTGAACAGAATTCATAAGCAAGAATGAAAAGACTCTTATATGTTAATTCTTCCCACAGGCAGTTAAAACCAGCATGTCTCATATGTTCAGAAACCGTAACTATTGATAAAAGCGGCAAATGAAGCGCACTACGAGGCAAAGCACAACTCTTTTGAACAAATGTACCCACTCACATCTGAAATGAAGACACAGAAAATAAACTTAAGAGCACAATATGATCAGAATCCTAACATGAATTCACTGTCCAATGATGTTAACAGAGAGAATAGAGCTGAAACAATTGTTAATAACCACAGATAAAGTCCATGAACACTCATTTCTATTTTTAGATGACAAAAATCTAATATCGTGGCTTTTTTATTGACATCACTTCACACCTAAATGAACTGAATTTAAAGCTGCAAGGCAATTCAGTGAAAGTAATTTTTCGAAAATGAATTACTTTATTTTAAGATGCACATTTTTGAAAAGCTTTCTGTTATGTCAGTTATTCTTTATTCCAGCCCTTATTGTACTTGAAATGAGAAGAACATTTATTTATGTATTTCTATGTATTATTTATAATTAGTGCTGGGCAACGATTACAATTTTTAATCGCGATTAATCGCATGGATTTTTTGCCATTAATCGCATTGTTATGGCAAAGTTCAATAATGAATTCAAAAGTAGTGTATTGCGCACTTTTATTTTAAAAGTACTTCTATATGAACAAAAGGTCAATAACATTTGGTTTGCAAACACTTTAAACACATCAGGTTGTTGTTAACAGCAGTATTCCCTTTACACAGTAGCAGTTATATTTCTTCACTATCTGTGCTCAGTGTGCTGACTGTATGTGAAACGTTCCACTGCTGTGCAACAGGAATAAAATCTTTCAGCAAAATGTCTATCTTCTGTCTTCATGACAGTCAGAGCATGTGAATGCAGCTCTACTGTTCATTAATATAAGAATAAAGACACTTTACGCACAATTTAGGTGTATTTTCCCTTTAACTCACGAGATGCAGGTAGCATGTTTTATACTTAATGTGAATATAATTCACACTTTGTTGGCATCTTATTCTGAAAACCGGATGTTCGTCTGAAGAAACCGGATGTTGTCTCGCGTTAATATTTCCGCTAATTTTCAAAGCCCTTCGCTCGCTCCCGATCTGTGCACCTTGAGAACGTTCCTCAGACAGACATATTCCACAACACTAACCGGCTGCAGTTTGTATCCACTTCTCTGTAGCATCTGTTAGCTTGTCTTGCTTTAGTTTATCTCTACTTCTCCCACACGCTGCATCAACGTAGTCTGAAGACTTCCTCCACCGCTGCCAGTGAGCAATGGACTTTCAAAATAAAAAATAAATAAAAATGCGTTAACGCGCTATAAAATAATTGTCGGCGTTAATTAATGAATGCGTTAACCTGATAATAACGCGTTACCTTGCCCAGCACTATTTATAATCCATCCAGTTCAATTTGGAACTGAGAATAATAATTTGTTAAAATATAATTGATGTGTACTTTCTTTATTTGATTTGACAGTTGTTGACTACACAGAGACGTTGTTACTACTACTACTACTAAGCTTTGTGAATATATATATATATATATATATATATATATATATATATATGGCACTAAATAGCACGAGTTAGATATTATTGTAATGTTTTGGACCTTTGCCCGAGGAGATTTTCTCAATCTGGACCTTTTGGAATTTTAGTTGAATACCCCTACTCTAGATATTCAGTTTACTATAATATGACACCAAACCATCACTATTTGAGAAAATATAACTTGTAAATGTTTGGCTTTCTAGCTTGATAAATGATTGAAACAAATCATTCCAGCTTTCTGTTGTCTCTTGTTGAATATGTTTGAGCTTTGGACTGTTGTTGTTGTCATGTTGTGCCACTTTGTAGTCTCTGCTTTGCTTCTTCTCACCTGAGCAACTTCAACGTCTCCTACTTTGAAGGCCTCGTCCACCTGGGAGGCAGACATCAACTGAGAAACTGTGCAGGGGATTATCTGTGAGGCCCGGGTTCTCTGCAAAACACGTCAGTAGTCCATCAGTACTGGAAGAGATGTCAACAAAAGCTTTTGATAGGCTGATAAACGTCATCTATTCAGAATATGAATGTGCAATTTAAGGGATGATGTGATTTGATTTTGTTGCTCTAATCTGTTTTAAGTTTCCAGTTTGTTATGAAGAAATTGTAGTGTAACGTCAGACTTCAGTCACGTTACGAACCCCTTTCTTCTCTCCCTGGGATGCGGCAGGTGATGCAAAGCCCCCTGGAGACTGAGTGTAGCCTCCGACCGTACTCGACTCATTGTTTCCTCCTGAAGAAGAAGAAGAAGAAGAAGAAGGCAGAGACAGTTGAGATGAATGGCCGTTTGTTCTTCCAATTAAAAAAACGTCACCACCTACCACAACAACAAAGTAGCTAGTGAGCTAACTAACAGGCACTTAATTCAGTAACTGTTAGTCAACCGTGTGGTAATTAAACTCACCCTGGTTCCACATGCTGCTTCCTTGTAATTAAGCTGATATGTTAATAATACTGTGGAACAGGTACAACAGCCACACGCCGTTCAGTAGACTTCCTTGTAGTCAAGCGCGCCAAACTCAATATACGGCGCACGCGCGTAGCAAAAGTCCCGCGAACCCACGTTAAACACAGGGTGTTTTAGCCCTGATTTTGGTTGGTCAGACAGTAGTTCTTCCATTTGTGTGTACAAATACTATCTTTGCCGCTGCTTAAACTCGCAACAATGGCCATAACCATACATTTAGCATCGAATTACAAATTTGTGGTTGATATTGCTTGTTGGAGCTGTATACAGCACTGAAGAAAGGAGTGCCTGAAAGGCAACACTCTGGGCTGAAACGTAACAGTTGGTTTAATCCAGAGCTGTGCTGCCTTCAAGTTATGTTGGACATATTGCTTTTACTACGAAGGGGTTATTGTTGCATCCGTGGCAATTGGACAATTGCTGTGTAAACGATACCAACAGTTTCAAAGTCTCATTTACTTGATAATATACATTTGTCAGTTAGGAGTCGTAAAGCGTCATATAATATGTATAAAATAAGGTTAGGCTGTATTTTATCAAGCTTTTAACAATTCCGAATTCTAAAATATCTTAATATTCACATTCTAGATGTTCTTATGCTGGAGTAATTTCGTACTGTCGACAATCAACTGCCAGGTGAGATATTTGCTTCCTGTGACAATTTCAAATATTATCTACAGTTGCAACCACATCTCCGGGAAGTACGAGGATCACCTGAAGGCAGCATGCCCACTTTAAGACTTCTGCTTTTTTAACATGAAATATTACATTTACAGTAATTGAAACATTTACACACGGATTAAATACAACACACGCACCACTTGTGATGTGAACACATACAGATATTGTACTACTCTGCCTCAAATGTACATGCCAAAGAGGTCAACTGTAAAAAATAAGCCTACTAATTTTAACTTCAGCCCACATAAAAATAGTTTGCATGGAGCACGGAAGGTATGACTCAAAGTTATAAAGAGAACGGTATGAAGTGATTAGTGTAGGCAGTATATGGAGCCTATAAATATATTGTCTAGTTATTACTGCTCAATCAATTAATCGTTTGAGTGGACATCATTTTTGACTTATTGACCACTGGTTTATAGCTTAGGTTACTACGGTTGATTTGTTCTGGTACTGCTTCCCAAGATCTGTTTATGTGCAGCTAGCCAACTTCTCCTTTTAATTCAGAAAAAAATGGCTGACAGGTGTAGATGTAGATAAGATAAAATAAGATAATCCTTTATTAGTCCCGCAGTGGGGAAATTCAGGTTGATAATCTTGGTTTTAATTAAATTGAAACAATAGATGGAACAAATATAGAGTATATATTTTGCAGAGAAATCCCAATGGACCACCTTCGGGCTAAAGACGCGTTATGAATAGCTGCATCTTATCTTTATTTGCCCTTTATAGACTTACCTCTCAGACCTGGACTTGACTTGTGTTGGACTTTTGATTTCTTCGACGAGTTCAACATGTCCACAGTAAGGCTGCTCCTATCTTGGCTGCTTTCTAAAGAGGTTGCTGCACTGTCAGGTAAGTTATATTGTTGTACGTTAAAATGTTTATAGCGCGGGGACGACTTCATATGCGCAATTACGCATCGTTTTTATCCAGGAAACTTCTGGCACATCACGGATCACCACTGGGACCCAACATACAAACTGACCGATAATCCTGAACTTGTGTGCGCATCGAGTGGCAAACGACCCGCAGCCAATGCGGGGAAATTTGGAGACTATGCTTGTGATTCGCCATGGCTCCTTATAAACTCCTCTGTGTATGCCATGAAGGATATTCTACCTGACCCGGACTTCATCGTATGGACAGGGTATGTATCCACTTTAGGTGGGATTGTAACATGTTTCACGAATCTTGCTGGCTTGTTGAGTCCAAAAAAAAAAAATCACTTTCCCCACTCAGGATTTAATCCTTAAACGATCTACTATCTATTTTGTTGCTGCTCAGAGATGACACACCACATGTAGCCAACGAGGATCTGGGAGAAGAAGCAGTGCTCCACATTATCAGTAACCTTACCCACATTATAAAGCAGGTGTTTCCAAGTAAGTGTGAGGTCAAGAGACATCGTGTGTAGCCTATTTAAGTGAGCAAATATCTGGAATCAACATTTACAGTGACGTTGTAGTATGGATGAACTTATATTATTGTACGTTACTGCCCTTCCTTAGACACTAAAGTGTACTCTGCCCTGGGCAACCATGACTACCACCCTAAGAGCCAGCTTCCGGCCGGCCCAAACTACATGTATAACCAGACAGCTGAAATGTGGCGGGACTGGTTGGATCCAGAGTCCAGAGTAACATTTAAAAAAGGTTGATGGAGTCTCCTGTGATACTTTGAGATGAATACTTTTGATAATAACACAATTGTTTTCCCCTAAGAATCAATAAATTACCTATCTATTATTTAAAAGCACACGTCCAATTGTGTCATGCATTTTACGCAATGTTTTTCTTCACATAGGTGGATATTACACAGAGAAGCTGCTGAATCAAACAGGTTTCAGGATGCTGGTCCTTAACACTAATCTCTACTATGACCAGAACAAGCTGACCCGGGACATGGACGACCCAGCGGGCCAGTTTAGCTGGGCGGACCAGGTTCTTACAGAGGCCGCCATCAACAAAGAAAAGGCAAGGCGCCTAGTCTATCTGTGCCTTGTAACAGGTGTTGAATTCAATTTAAAAGATATTTTTTTAATCTCTCTATACAGTAGAGGGTAATAAATCATTCAGTGATTAATGAATAACTCATTCCTCTTTTAATGCTGGTTACCATGGTTAACCGGAAGAATACTTTCAGTTTACATCCCCCTGTATAAACAATCATCTCACGGAAGAGAGGTGAACGTTCAAAAGCAGACACTTCCTAAATCTAAGGGCGGGGGGGCAGCCCAATTCATCTCATGCAAAAAGATGAGGGCATTGAAATAGTGTAACTCTGTCTACCTCGAATGAAAATAGATCATTTTTTCTAACTGTACTGGTTTCACTTCCAGGTGTACATCATTGGTCACGTTCCCCCAGGTTTCTTTGAGAAGAAGAGAAGTAAGCCGTGGTTCACGCCTAAATTCAACAAGCTATACTTGGACTTAATTCAGAGGCATCACTCAGTCATACTTGGACAGTTTTTTGGCCATCATCATACCGATAGCTTCCGGATGTTTTACAACTCAGAGGGTAAGTTCTCACTGTTGGAATACTATTGCCACTATGAGTGCTTTCTCCTGTTTTACATGTTAGTGTTGATTGGTATTTATATTGTTTAGTTTTTACTCGTTCATTTCCTCACTGTTATGCACAGTGACTCACGCCTAGTGTCCAGATGGTACCTTTGACCTTTAGGCCCATAATACTGTGTTAATCAGGCTCTCCTATCAGTACGATGTTCCTCAGCCCAGGCGTCACACCGTGGAAAACAACACTTCCTGGAGTCAAGGATGGAGCAAACAACCCTGGGATCCGTGTTTTTGAATATGACCCTGAAACACTCCTGGTCAAAGTAAGTCAAGGCCAGTCTGTATAATTTAATTTCATGTCTTTCTTAGCTGCAATACACAACCTCAACCCAAAAAAACAAAATACTTTGTTTTCGTTTCTGCTTTTCAAACTACGTTTGAACACACTCAGGATGTGGTGACGCATTATCTGAACCTGACACACGCTAATGCAGCCCGCGGACGCTGGGAGAAGGAGTACCGCCTGACAGAGAGCTTCAGAATACCAGACGCCTCCCCGGCCTCCATGCATCAGGTTCTAGAGCGCATCGCTAACGACCGCTGCTACCTACAAAAGTACTATGAGTTCAACTCAGTCAGCTACGACCTGACAGAGTGTGACAGCGACTGCCGCGTTGACCACGTGTGTGCAGCCAGAGACGTAGACTTTGACAGGTACGAACACTGTCTGGAGAAGGAAAGGGCAGCTGCCATTTATGGTGGGTTGCTGCCAGTCCTCTCCGTGGCTGTGAGTCTGGTGCTGGCCAATCGGTGATGATGATCAATATATCAAAGATGATTTTTAATATATATTATTGACGATTCAGGGAGTTATTAGATAGAAAAACTGAAACTCAAGATCAAGATTATTGCTGTCATGTAAATATTTACCAGTTAACATCATAGTATTTGTTGTCATGTTCTAAATCATATCACATTATAATTTAGGTGAGTCATGCACTAGATGCACTTAAGCAGAGAAAAAAAAAAAAAAACTTTGACTTCCGCAATCTTTGGTGAGCTTGTTTTATTGGTGCTGTTTTAATACTATATTTCCAGTCAATAGAAAAAGACTATGTGGTATTCATGTGGCTCAAGTACATAATCATTCTGGATCAAATCCAGACTTTTGTCAAATGTTTATTTCCTCACTAGCTTTCCTGTCAAACTCTACTGTATCTATTTAATAAACCAGAAAATGCTAAAACAGTTGTTTATTGGTTGAATGTCATTTTAGCAGCAAGAATCAATGCACCAGTATATACCATATATACCATATCAGTATTATTGCAACAGTAAATCTGTTGATTAACATAAATTGCACTTAATCACGCCCATATAACTTAGTAAAACAACAACCTGTTACTAAACATATCAGATTAAGCTGTATTATCTGAGTTCTATATAGCTTATCCCATATCGCTATATAAAGATGCAATTACTTTTTAAATACTGTCAATAAACTTAAGTGGGAACTCAAAATGTCATAAAATACCAGATGCTGGACTTTGGGCCTACTGTGAAGACACATTTATTGAATATGTGCTCGAGCAGTGTATTTGATTGACAAGTTGACGATAATGTCGCAGTCCCTGGGGTCATGACCGTGCAACGATTGGTTGGTGAGTCCGTTCACATGATCAAGACCTGTTTAGCTGAGGTGAAAGGCTGCGTCGCTGTGTCCAGAGCTTTGCTGTAGTCTTGGAGGCCCACCTCAGTGCAGGCAGGAGCCGTCAGCTTTCCCTGCTGAATGAGGTGGCACAGCTCATCCAGCATGGCTCTGAATGCCTTTCCATCTAAGGAGAGAGAGAGAGTGTAATTTCTCATAAGAGTAATTTCAAGAGACTTATTTGATGAAAGAGGAAATGTCATGCTGACTCACCGCTCGAGTGATCTCTCTTCCACTGCGTGACCCAAAATCCCCGAACCTTCACATCCTTGAAAATAAGAGCACTCTGGAGAGAACAAGTTCAGTGAGCGTACTGAGAGAAAAGTGTGCCTGTGTAGTGAAATGTTACATGTAGGAGGCAGTGGGAGGTTTCATCTTACCACGGGGACAGTAACTGGCTGTTTGGCCATCCCTCCATACGTCACCATAGATCCTCCATACCTGGGAATTATTGCATTTTATGATTCAATTTTCTCGTCAGTGTAAGATATTAAACATCAAAGATCATTCAGCATCCTCACTGTAGATGACGGAGCAGCTCTGTTGCACTTTTGCCTCCGACTCCGTTCAGTGCCAGTTTAGGCTTTGGACAGGTCTTTCCCAAAAAAAAAAGAGAGAGAGAAAGAGAAAAAGAGAGAGAGAGAGAGAAAGAGAAAAAGAGAGAGAGAGAGAGAGAAAGAGAAAAAGAGAGAGAGAGAGAGAGAAAGAGAAAAAGAGAGAGAAAGAGAAAAAGAGAGAGAGAGAGAAAAAGAGAGAGAGCGAAAGAGAGAGAGAGAGAGAGAGCGAAAGAGAAAAAGAGAGAGAGAGCAAAAGAGAGAGAGAGAGAGAGAGAGAGAAAGAGAAAAAGAGAGACAGAGAGAAAGAGAGAGAGAGCAAGAGAGAGAAAGAGAGAGAGAGAGAGAGATCTTTAAATTAGGACTGTTTATTCATTACATATATCTACATAAGTTATTATCGTATCTTTGAAGTCTTCGGACCTTGAACAGTTCCTTCATCTCCGGCCGCCTCAGTGCCTCTTCTTTGATCACATGAGTTCCTCCCATGGCCTTCAGCCTATCACTGAGCTGTGTGAACTCTGGCCTTTGAAAAGGAAGAAACAATGAAGAAGTTCATGACAGTCGTAAATTCTAGCACACACATAAAAAAAACTCTGTTTCCGTTACCCTTGGACAAAAGACCCCATTATCTCACAGTCAGGTGGACTGATTACCTGGGCCAGGGATTAGGACGGAAAAAAGTTGAGTCTTCTGAAAACACTTGATATACTTGAGTTCACCTGTCTCTGACGACGTTGATGGTGCTTATCCCCCTCGCAGCAGCAATCTGTATTACAGCCTGCCCAACTCCACTGTTGGCTGCATTCTGGATCACAGAATCACCTGCAAGGACCGTAGATTGAGCGAAACTGTCACATTAAGATAGCTAAAAGTACTGCACAGCATGCCATGTTTTTAGAGATACCTTAGGCAGGAATACTCTATCCTCAAGTCTCCATTTAGATTAGTATTTTATCAGCACATGAAATGGGCATGTTATTCCCATCATGTGTCTACCAGCTTGCTTGTGGACTAATGGACATGCTTTGAAGGTGCATGATCCCTTAAAATGCAAGTTCACGCTGCAAATACCACTGAACAGGGCAGTGGCTTTAATTTCATTTCAATGACTGAATTAAGGACTACTTCTGTAAGTCAACTGTGCTTTAGTACTTTATTACTGAGAGTTTCTGCAACCAGGAAGTTGATGGTTGCTAAAAAAAAGAAACGTAACCAACATTTCCTTTTGGAAGTGGAACCATAGTAAAATATGTCTTCCCCTGTATTTCAGTGGCTTGTGGTTCTATGAAGGAAAATAATATTATGACTATGTGTGTGGAAATGGTTACCTGGCTTGAGATCCTCAAAGTCAGCGAGCATCCTGAAGGCAGTGCAAGGATTCACCCCCAGTGTGGCAGCGGACAACAAGGGAAGGTCATTCGGCAGCGAGATGACATCGTCCTCCGCTAGCACGGCCACTGTCCTCCAGGTCCCTGCTCACACAAAGGCACAAAACTCTTAAGCGACCCTGTGGACTCATTCATGTAATACAAGCTTCTGTTGTTGTTTTTTTTACCTAAACCAGCATCTTTTGGAATGACCCAGTCTCCTGTTTTGAGGGACGTCACCTGGCCACCGACTTCTACGATCTGGGCCACTCCCTCGTTGCCCCCGACCGCTGGGAGGTCAGGCAAGATAGCATAAGTACCTGAAGAAGAAAAAAAACAAAACACTGTCAGATAAACAACTTATCTTCAACCTTCCAAAAAATAAATAGTGTGTTTGGTTTCTTGGCTATCTTGGTAGAGCTGCTTCCAAATGAAGTTACTGTGCTGCTGTTTGGTGCGGAGGTAACCAACAAACCAAGTACCTTGAATCATGTTGATGTCAGACGGGTTGATTGGAGCTGCCAGCATTTTAACGAGGACATCCTTTGCCCCTATGGGGGGCAGGTCTACATCTTCCAACCTGACAACCAAAAACATTCAAGTATACAAAAGCACGTACTCTCCATTTTTTGGGGCATTTGGTGACAGCATTCTAAAGTATGAAATACAGCATATATCAGGCTTAGTCACATAGCACGACTGTGTCCAAATACATCCATTGTGGTCCCTGGTGTTTACCAAGACGCGGACCGGTTTAGGTATGTCTGAGCAAAGAAATACTGGAAACTAAAAACTGCTCATTTGAATCCTTAAAGAAGACAATAGCATTATTTGTTTTAATATTTAATATTTGTTTTAATATTTGGGGTGTCTCAGCCTTTATAACAGGCTGAAACACCCCAAAACAACGTATCATCAATGTATTACCATGTCAAATATAAAACTGTGCTGAAACACTCCTCCGCGAATCGCCACCTTATCGTGGTGGAGGAGTTTGAGTGGCTCAGTGATCCTGGGAGCTATGTTGTCCGGGGCATTAGCCCCTGGTAGGGTCTCCCAAGGCAAACAGGTTTCAGGGGAGAGCCCAGACTAAGAGCGGTTCAAAACGACCCCTATGATATTTAGCCCACGGACTTTAGCCACCTCGCCCGGACCAGGGATACCGGGGCACTCTCCCGGAGCCAGACCCAGGAGGGGAGCTCGTAGGCGAACGTCTGGTGGCCGGGCCTTTGCCCATGGGGCCCGGTCGGGCTCAGCCCGAATAAACACCATGGAGCAGCCACCCTGTGGACCCACCACCCACAGGGACAAGCATCGGGGTCAGGTGCTATACAGACCAGGCGGGAGGCCTGGGCATGTCGATCGCCGGCGGCATAGACTAGCTCTAGGGACGTGGAACGTCACCTCGCTAGCGGGGAAAGAGCCGGAGCTGGTGCAGGAGGTGGAGCGATACCAGCTAGAAATAGTTGGACTCACCTCCACACACAGCGTTGGCTCTGGAACCAAGCTCCTGGAGAGGGGTTGGACTTTGTCCTTTTCCGGAGTTGCCCAGGGTGAGAGGCGCCGGGCGGGAGTGTGGATACTCACGAGCCCCCGGCTGAGTGCCGCTGTGTTGGAGTTCTCCCCGGAGAACGAGAGGGTCGCCTCCATGCGCCTACGGGTTGCGGGGAGCAAGGCTCTGACTGTGGTTTGTGCTTATGCACCAAACAGCAGTTCAGAGTATCCGGCCTTCTTGGAGTCGGTGGGAGGGGTCCTGGAAAGGGCGCCACCTACCGACTCCATAGTTCTCCTGGGGGACTTCAACGCTCACGTGGGCAATGACGGGGGGTGATTGGGAGGAACGGCTTTCCCGATCTGAACCCGAATGGTGTTTCGTTATTGGACTTCTGTGCTTGCCACGGTTTGACCATAACGAACACTATGTTCGAACATAAGGTGGCTCATAAGTGTACCTGGTACCAGAACACCTTAGGCCGGAGACTATCGGGTTACTTTGGCAAATGCACGTCTAGTTAAACCGTTAAAGAGCATATTTAGCCACATGAACTGTAGCCAACGTTACTGTATTGCATTTGCAGGATCGCAGGAAACGAATGCACTATACGTGCAGGCTTACTGAACGACTTTTGAAGGGTCCCCGTGTTTTCTGAACAGAAGAGCCTTGCTTGTTAGTACTGCAGGTCCAGCTGAATGACTGAAGAGAGACCCGTTTTCCCAGTGCCTTGAACATTTTAAAAGAGCAGCAGCGTAGCTTCCTCTGCAGGCTGTCTGGCTTCTTAAACAGAGCGGCAGCCACATGGCGACCCAAGAGTTAATTTTCAATTACGAAATAATAACCCCACTACTCAATGACATGTGCCATTTCAACTGTGCGTTTTACTAGCATTCCTGTTACTGCACGGCCATGTTGGATTTGGGGTTGTGTCATTGAAAATATAAACACAGAGTAGCTCCCCTGGTGGATAAACGCGGTAGTTCACTTCTTATAGCCGTGACATGGTACACAGTACCATGTCATGTTACCAGGCAGAGAAAAAGAGGAATGAATTACTTGCTGTGGTGTCTCACTTCATGTGCGCGGTGAGCCTTTTACCCAGAAGTTACTGATTTCCACACATGACTGAGTTGATAATACATAGAAATCAGTGGTGGAATGTAACTAAACTGCTATAGGAAATGCCATCAGAAATTCTCAGAATCATGATTCCATCTTCATATGTATTGTTTTGTCAGAATAACCATCCAAAGATATTCAATGTACAATTAATATAATATTGTTGGAGAAAAGCAGCAATTTCTCACATTTGAGAAACTATTGATTTTTTTGCTGAATAAAAGGACTTAAACAATTGTTGCGATTTATTTTTCTGTAGATAACTAAAGTTCCAGCACTACACTATTGTACTTTTTACACCACTACATCTATTTGACAGTTATAGCTAGTTACCTTTTTTATTCTTAAGCTTAGTTTATTTAGCTTTGACCGTGTACACCATTAAAATCCTGGGTAACACTTTGTAATAAGGCCTTCTTTATAATTACAAGTTCTAATAAATAAACAGCTGTACTAATATGTATTAGAAATTCACTTAAGACTTTATAGATTAATCTAACTATTAATATTTGGGAACATTTGTATTGTAGTTTAATAAAATCCATTTGTCTTAGATTTTGAATGCAAGCTTTTTTTCAGTTGCAATCTTACTTGTTTACAGTATCTGTTCTAAGAGCAAGAAAAAACAGGCAAAAAGACACATGAATATTGACATATTTACTAGCAAATGGAGCAGATCTTAACATATAGAAACATAATCACTGTAATACTTTGAAAAGCTTACATGCTGCTCATTGAAAAACTAGCCATTAAATCAAGATAAGATGACTCAATATACATGTTTTATGGCAGTAAACATTGATACATTCATCAGTAATAAATGCAAATTTTCTTTTTTTGGAAGTAGCTCTAGCCATTTATCTGATAATCTTTCTGGTTACCCTAATCTTATAAGATACACCACAGATGAAATGGCTGATGGTCACAAACAAAATACACCATGAAAAACACACACAATGCAAACTGTGATGCAGAACGCTTCGATGTGCTTCAAATGTTGCCCTGAGCACATCATCTTACAAATCCTCAGATTTTCAAAGTATATCTGAGCTGTCGAACACCCGACAAACCGATCACAATAACACACCACTGAGGGGTCACAAAGGTTTGTTGCAATCAGAATGTCTCTCATGGACTCTAGTTCACAAATGATACTTTGAAAACAAAACTAAATACAGCAGAATATTGCAAACATTACAATAAAACACTTTCATTCAACCTTTTATCTAAATAGTGGGTGTCAGAATCCAATTAATATGTTTGACAGATGATTTAGTGATTTCAGGGATTTCTAAGAAAGTTAATCACAGAGATTAATAACAAAAGTCATCCACATGTGTCCTTTTTTAATTAAATGGAGAATAAGGAAAATGTTCAAGTTAGAGGTTATACTGGCACTGCGACCATAAGTGGTAAATTCAACATAAAAACATACAGAAAAATCAACTGTTCCATCTAATCAGAGCGCTTACTTAAACAATCTTTCTGTCTTTCACATCCTGAGTTATCAAGTTTTATTTTCTTTCATCAATTCTTAAACTAAACACCACCTAACAGCAGAGTATGACACAAGATTTGAGTGTTAAATCATCCATGACACATTCTTTTTGTCTTAAGCATTGATAGTCTGGAACACCAAGTATCGGCCATGTGTTGAGATGAGACAACCCCGGATTATATACTACTAGCCCCAATCCCTTTAACAACATTCTACTACATCCCCATCTACAACGATTATAGAGGAAAGAAATACAATAGTGGAACATTTTCTATAGATTATGTCATATCACGGCAAGTTATGTCAAAGAGGTTAAACTATAAAGAACATCATCAAACTGGGTGCGTGATGTTGACAAAGTATGGGAGTCAAAAAGCTTATGAATATCAATCACATCATTTGTATTCATTGCTTTTTTTTTGGCCATAATCTTAGTTTTTTTCTTCCAAGCAAAAAAGAAACTGCTGAACTAAGACATTCCTAAATCCATTTTACTTTGGTATCTTTGTTCTCCGCTTGACATCATGCGGATGAACACTCAGTCTCTTCTTAGTCTTGTATAAACACTCCTCGACTCCTTCAAATCAATCTGAAGTATTCCCTGAGTTTTCAGATTGGCAATTCCTGAGATGAGCCTAAGAGTGGAGTTGAGTTTTTTTTTCTTCTTTTCCCTAACCAGCGACCGACTGTATGTGGTATATGAAAATCTAAAAAAGAGAATATAAAACATGGAACGTATTCAAAAAGAGATTAAACTGAGTATGAAAATGAATTAATGCATCTTACACATGATTAGTGCAGAGTAACATTGCATTGGGTTTGGCTAAATTGGAATAACAATGGGACTCTCTTACAAAAGGCTCATAGTTCATAAAAATAAATTAAAAAAACAAATTGATACAAGGCAAAGGAAAAACAAACTCAAAGTTTACGTCAGTCCTCATAATTCTATGTACCTGTACAGTATGTACTGTATATTGTTAGTGTGTTGCAGTATTACTGTTATACTGCATTCATACGGCATCGAATTATTGTTTAAGGACAATGACCGTGATTTATCAAGCACATATGTACAAATTATACGAGTACCTTGATGTTAAAAATGGGTGACCCAAATATATTCTCATGTCATATATAGCTTTGAATGACATTTGGCAGTTCTTTTTAATGTCTACTAGAACAATAATGGCTTCAACAGGAGCAGAGGGAGAAGTGGCAGCACTCTTGGATGAAAATAAATAAGTAGTATGATTTTTTTTTTTTTTTTTAAAGGCTTTAGAATAATTTTACATATATATTATTTGGGTGTAAAAGTCATGTCAGCATCTCCTGTAAAATGGGAGTAAATGCTGATTAGCTAGCTAGTTCTACATGCTCCTCCGTGCAGGCTTGGTGTTCCTGAACTATTACCCTACTAAGGGTTATAGGGAGGTAATGTCTTAAATAACTACCTAGAAATGGATCACACTGGATATAAAATACCAGCCTTCCCACTGGCAATATTATGTCTAATTCTGCCTCATTTTTTATTCAAGTATCAAGAGGAGAGCTAGCTGGACCCCTCAGTAACTCAGTCCAGTTCAAGTATCTTATTACGTGTGATGACGTGCTGGGTTTAGTATCACATTGGTTGGAATTCTATCAAATCCAAGTTGAAGTGACTATAAAGCAGCAGTATTTCACACAGCAGCCAATAGAATGAGAGCATACTGTGGATGGAAAGTTGACCAAGCTCTCAGAAATGTTAAAGAGCAACTTAACAGCAGGCTGAAAACTGTGTTTTGCTGGCCTCTGTGGTTGAGATTTAAGAGAGACTACACCCAGTCTAATAAGTACAGCTGACCACATCCAGCTGGTGTGTGGTCAGATGCTCAAGACATTTAAGTGGCCAGTATGCTCCAACAGAACACCCACAATTTCTATCATTTTCAAAACTGACAGGTCTCAGGTGTGGATGTGTTAAGCTACTCTTTAAAGCTAAGGTTGGAAATGTTGCAAAACAAGCAAGAGAAGCTTAACCGCATAACCCAGCCCAGTGTTGCCAACTCTTCCAATGGATGTAGCTAGCAGCACTAGCTCCTACGGTGGCTAAATCTAGCAAGAAAGTCGCCACGTATGCATCCCATCCCTTCAGGCCTATACCCTCCAAAGCCATTCTTCCAAAATGATCATCGTAAGCATGAACGTAAACAGCATACGTGGCTATTGTTAGCAGCTTGTGGAAGACTCTGGTGAATAGCAATGAGAGCATGCAAGCAGGCCGTCCGATCATTTCATTTAGGCTGAATGAAATGATTGGACGGGCTTATTAAAGTCCTGCGACAGCCATCGATACCAGAATTGTTTCTTCTTTTTTTGTCAAATGTATTGATTGCTGTCGGTATGTTATGAGAATTTCAACAAAACCAACCCTAGCTTTAATGGATTCTCTTATAACTAATGGCAATACTTTGTAAATACTGTAGTGCAACGAGGATTTGATTTAATCCCAACTCAAATCACGATCTCCAAAACCATATTGTGAGAATATTTGGTTTACCATCAGCGGTTAGAATGACAGTATTGGTAGCAGACCAAACACAAGCCAATGAGGTATACCATGCACCTTAAGACAGCCAGCAAAACGCTGGAGGAAAATTAATTGACAAAAAAAACAAACAACTCTGACCAAAAGCTCAAAATAACTTCTGGTCTGACATTCATTTGGCCCCAGGAAAACTGGATGGTCAATTGCAATATTGGCAGATGCCAATACATGGCCTATAGCTATACCCTAAAACCCGTCCCATGTGTTTTCCCGAACCCTCCCCTTCCCCATGCAATATACAAACTAACATTCATCACAGAGGTACCCACTGTCTTGTCTCTGTTGGATGTTGAGGTGTAACAGTCAGGAAGGAGACTAAATGGTAAGGCAGCAAAAGTGTAACTCTATACGAAACACACGGAGTATTTCACAAGAACAGAAGAGGTATAATGCCCACAGGAGAGGCACAGTATCACATTAAAGAAAGAAAAAGAGATTCTACAAAAACTCATCATCAAGATAACCCGTTATTTGGCATTGCTCACTACAATCCTAAACCCCTCGAGCAACAGCAGTGATTTGAACATTTAGAAAAGCGTCCTGAGTGCAATAATACAGCAGTATTCCTGAGTGTGTGTTACACCAACTGAAAAATGACAACAACAAAAAAACATCAGCAACATTCTTCATCAGCAATTTTTTTTTTCTTAACCTGAGGTAGTTCCAAAAGCAGCTTCAACGGGTGGAAGGGGATCCATGTGTCCCGTCTCTCCATCAAAGCACTTTGATTGGCCTCTGTGCTTCCCCGGCGTCAGTGTTGCCCCAAATTTCTCGCTTAATCGGTGGTTTCGGGAGGCGGCGCCGCATGGCTGTGCTCCTCGTCTCCTTTCAGTGGGGACGGTTTTCCCTGAGAACTCGGTGAGGACTGTTGTGCTTTGATTGGGCAGTTGGCGACCATGTGGTCGATGCTCTGGCAGAAATGGCACTTCTTGGGCTGGGGTGGTAACTTGCACTCTTTGGCGTGGTGGTCCAGGCCTCCGCAGTTGTAGCACCTACAAGGGCAGGGAGTATTTAGTCTCATGTATTGTGTGCTCGAACATGCAATAAGTGGCGTATTTACAGCAGGGATGTTTCTGGCCACCTGGCAAAGAACAATTTGATCTCTTATTGGGAGATATCTGTCTCTTTAGCTGCTAAATACATCACTATGTTCACCAGCTAGTCGCTAACTGCGTCTGCCTGCTGTTCGGCACTGAGCAGGTAGCGCACAGTTGCTACAGAGCTATTTTGCTTAAGCCAGCTGCTGCTCCATTGAGCTAAGGGAAACAGCAGATAATTCATAATAACATTATTTTTTTTTCCCACTAAAAAGTTCTGTTCATTTTGTGCACATACTCCTTCACCTTCATTGTAAAATCCCTAATCCAAAAATGAATTTCAAAACGTTAACCGCTGGATGCAAGACGTGTGCTACCTCAATGAAAAGTCCGATGTCACATGGCATATTGAACCCCGATTTGGCTTCCAAACTTTTTGTGATGTCACAAAATCTTGCTTGTACGTGCATATCTTAAAACTCAGATTTAGGGTAAACCACAAAGGAAATGTTTCATCCTTCAGCGGATTAATGTGAAAACAGCCTTCTAGTGTAAAACTGTGCTTATACATCAATTCTGCACAGTGACGGTAAAATGAAGTAACAATAACCAAAGCCCATTTTTGATTGATGGGGCATTTTAAGTTCCACCTGTTTTCCACTAGATGGCCCCGTTTCACCTGGAATGATTTGAGTCATACATCTTGAAAGGGCATTTTAGGTCACACCACATTGCTCTGTGGAGGAGCACCCTGGGTCAAACATCTAACAAACATGTCATAGTTTCTGAGATGTTTTAAAATCACCACTGAAATTCATGAAATCTTATTAACAACCTTTGGCCAAGCAAAAGTTTCTGGAAGGTTTTACTGTTAAAGCGGACTACTAGTAATTTGCAAGAATTAAAGGCACCTCATACAAGGTTGGGAGCATTACATTTGCCTCAGCTCTCCACATGGTGACGGCTGGGCTAGTGTCTCGTAGCTAACTGTGCTAATAGCACTAACGGTACAACCTATGGCAAAGTGCTGACATAGCTAACAGTGTTTATCTGAGGGTGAACCAGTGGGTGAATGCTGCGCTTCCGTGACACCGCCGTCCAGTTGGGACGGCATCATCAGCTGTAACCGCCATATGAGCGCAGTGCAGAGCAGCAGCTGTGAGCTCGCCAGTGGGGTTCACTCACATGCACATAGATGCACTAAAGGCCCGAGCTGCCGGCCTGGCTTTGTCGACAAAGCAAGGCACAATGTACGACCTCATTCTCTGCTCAGGTAGACATTTCTCCATTATATCTTTACATCGCAAATAGTTGTTTGCTGCTGTATTCAGGCTCTGAATCCAATATATTACACCCTTAACTGGCACGGCTCATAGTTTTTCATGGACTCGGTATTGATACCATGACTCATTATCTCGAAGTATCGAGAACAGCTTGTCCTATTTGTCAGTTTTTCACTGCCAATAGCTTCCCCCCCTGTTGGACTCTATTGTGTCAAAGTAAGACATCCGTTTCATCCGCCTTTGAACTTTAGAAATGGACACCATCAGGCGCCATCGGGCCACCTCTGTTTGAACGCAATCTATAGAATGGCCACGCGCTCAGGGGCGGAAGACAGATGGGTGGTGGGCGTGAGGCGGTCACTCTGTGCCACTGCGGACCCCCCTGCCACCATTGAAGCAGCAGATGACGTTTGTACGGGGGCGCCTGCCGAGGGGTCAGTGTGGCCGTTGGGGGGCGGTGTCAAGGTCTACACCGTCACAGCGTAGGAGCTCTCCGCATCAGCATCCATCAGGAGGCAAGTGGAGGGAAGGGGAAGTGGTCCCTTTGTCTAAAAAAGCTGCAGCAATGACCTCTGAACCTTGCCTTCCCCGCCCTCTCCTCAGTTCTCTAACCCCCAATCCCTCATACACTGTTGCCATGCCAACAGTGACCTTTCACCCCTTTGCCCGAGCTCCTACATCTGTTATCAATTAAATGAAGATTTTTTCCCCACCCTCAGTAAAATATATATATATACACAGACAAACTCACAAAGGTGGTCTCAAAAATAGACTTTAAAAACAGCTTTTCTCTTTGGTTGGCAAAACACAAACTAGAATGTACTTCTTACTCCTGCCCCAATGATATCTGACCATTGGTTATGATCAATCAATCCTACGTGAACCAATGAAACACCATCCAGTTGCATTATGAAATATGCTAGAGGGGTACGATATCTTACCATGGATCAGTGTGGTCAAGGGAGAGTTATTGAGCCACCGCGGGCCTCCCAGGACTCTTTGGGGCCGTAATGATCTCTGTTCTCACACCGACTACTCTCTGGCTCTAATCACAACTGACAGGGGGGTGAAGTTGATACACCTCTAACCCTGTGCTTTATTGATATTCAAAGAATGACCCAAAAATCGAGACCCAGTTGGCTCCTCTTTTCGTTCACTTGGAAGGATGTTGTTGCCTTTGCAAGGAACCCTCAAATCTTCAGGAGAAATTGAATGAATGGCGATATATTTGTAGATTTTTAGATTTTTTTTTTTTACTTTCTCAGGTGCTGAACTCATGAAACTAGTTTTTAAGGGGTGAAGTTCAGATCACACAAAAATATAAAACGTCCTTTTCAGTGAGGAGTGACTACGACATAGAGTTGGTAAAATTCCTCATTCCTGAAAGAGAAAGTGCCAGAATTACGAACAAAACCTAGATGAATGTTTAGGTTATTTAAATCATGATCGGTTTTGTAGTATCAAATCACATTGATGGTTTTAGGAAGGGTTAGGAAGAGCGAGGGAGTCAGTGGGCGTGAATTCACCAGGGGCCAGCAGATTTAAACAGTTATTGATCCAGGTCACACGTCAAGCCTGCTGGTGTGACCCTTGCTTGGGCTGGAGGTGGGGGTTGGGGACGAGGAAGAGGAAGGAAAATGGGGAGAAACTAAAACACCATTGTATATCTGATCCAACCTGGACCCAACAATGAATGTTTGTGGACTTCTAAAGAAGTAAAGCGCATAATCTGTCACTAAAAACCCAAGTATCTCCAAATAAGTTTTAGATAAACTGCAATATGCTTCTTTACAGGTTTAGAAAGCTGCATTCATTTAAGGTCTTTCCTGTTCTTTCCTTGTTCGTCCCCCCACTTACCTGTCTCCCTTTGAACGTCGCTTCTGGACCTTCTTGCCTTTGGGTCTCCTCTCACTGCCCACACAGTGGATGCCACCTGGTCCAGTAACTCTCTGCGACTCGAGGCCCTTTGACGACTTCTTGAAGGTAAACTCGACCACCTCGCCCTCCTTCAGGCTGCGGAAGCCCTCCATGTGCAACTTGCTCTGAAAGGTAACACAGGAAGAGGATTCAGCATCAAATATATTGTCTATATTGTCCAGCTATGTGGTGACTATGTGAAAATACGAGTCAAATATCCTTTTCCCATCACAGAAATACAGAAGACAATGCTTAGTGGGATATATATCTATATATCTCGTGATAACCTGTTATATTATATGACCAGTTTCCAAATCACCTCCACATTGGCCCTTGAGGAGAACAACCCCCCACCCATTCTTCACTGTGTGATATCATCAGAGCCTGATAGGACTTATCAGGTATTTAAGGTGATGATTACCTCGATGAAACAAACAAGCACTACAAAGCTCGCTGTTCCCACTTTACAGATCAGTTTGTACAAATACTGCCCTGCCTAGAAAAGGCCCCGTTGTCTTGATTCTGCTTTGTCTTTTTTTGCTGTGTTTGAGTGGTAAACCTGACGAGGATAACCTTCAACCCATCCCCCCCCCCACTCTACGGAGGAACAGCATTCCACACTGCTGCCCCCACCCCATCCCTCTTCCCACCCACATCACAAAGCTCCACTAACACACTGACCACCACCACTAACCCTAAACTGCAGGATGCAGGGGTTAGTGCTACGGTTGGGGGTGGGGTGAGAAGGCGGCGTGGCTTCTCTGGGAGGTTGGGGGGTCAGGGGAACATTCCTTGGATAGTTGTTTGGCAGAAAGACACCAGAGATAAAAGTTGAGGGAAAGCACAAATGATTGATATCTGCCTTTGAATCTTCTGTTTGTGAAAGAAACATGTCTGGTGAGCAGCAACATTGGAGAGGCGCGTAATCAACAAGAGAAAAGGTTTGAATATGCCGAGAGTAAAAACTCATTTAGCTACATGTTCACCTGAAGTGACCTTTGAGGTTCTTCTACTAGTCTCGCCAGAAACATTTCCGATTCCAAAGAAAAGAGAAGAGTATATGAAGGGAAGGTGTGGAGAAGCTTTGGCTAACACAACATGGGAAACCCCTCTCTAAAATTCCCTCGGTGTGAGATGTCACAACTAGAACAGACTGTTGACATAAGAAGAAAGATCCACAATGAAGCAGGTTTGTTTTGATAGACATTAATCCCATTTTCTTTTTGAGTAAAGTCACATTATGATCAACGGTCTGCATTGAGAGTCCTCAAAGCACACGGTTTATTGTGAGGAAAGTCTGGGGTCTGCTTCAGACCAAATCCAAAATGATCAGTTAAAGCATACAATAGTTTAATGAGATGGGAATTAACGTTGTCTTCTGGCATTAGAAAAGAAAAAAAAACAAGCACCATCTTCTCTAATCCGACAACTCACAATTGAGCGTCTGCTGCGAAGTCCTGATCAAGACAACTGGTGAGCCATGACATCGGAGCGGCAATATGGACATCCGCAGAGTCCCATCAGGCCTCTCTGCCCTGGTGACCGTTAACCCACTTCCTCTTCCACGTGTGACCTTCCCTACCCCCCAAAATGGACCCTGACCAGCCACATCAGGTTATCCACACGCAGATACAGGTACAGATCAGGGTGGGGCTTTTTTTTACCCTTAAGGATCTGTTGTGTGTGCGTGAGTGTGGGAGGGGGGCATTATGAGTACTGTAAACTCAGTCCAGAATGTGTCTGGAAGCCAAGTGATGCAGAGAAAGACATCAGAGAAACGAGGGACAATAGCAGGACTGCTGCTGAGACAAAGAGGGGCTCGGTCACGGCCGAGGGGTGCTTCATTCGGATGCATGGCTCTTTTGTCCACCTGCACAAAGGCCGGTGGACCCTGGGAGTTAATTTGACACGCAGCCACTAATTTTAGGGCTGAGGCCTTTTACGTCACCATAACCCCTATACATCCATTATTGACACGCGTGTCTCTCCCATTTCTACTGACAGAGAGGGAAGTAAGTCATTGGTTACGCATTTGTAGTGGATAAATTGAAAGCACGCGAGGTTGTTGCTTCAGTTAAGCAGTGAGCATTTTCTCTCTCAATTTGAGCTTCCTTTTAAGAGTCTGCAGCAACAATCAACTGGCTCTCATGACAGAGATACACCATTTTTTGTAAGATGGATTTAATGGCAGTTTATTTTATACTTCTAGTGAATCCACCCATTCATCTCCATTTTCTTTTGAATCTGTAACCACTGGAGCGCTGAACTGCAAGTTTCTAACCCCACTTCAACTCATGTTTTGGTTTGCATTATGATTAATCAGTCAGCAACTTCCTGTGTGTAGTCAAACAATAATTCAGTTACAACGGCTGCACAGCACAATGAAATCTCTCTATATGCATCATCATGGAGCACGAATGACTTAAAAGAAAAACAGAATCAAGTGAGTCTGACAACTGCCTTCAACAAAGTTGGGAACATGCAAGCTTATGGGAATAAACTTATTTAAATACTTTTCATCTCGAGCAATAAATCTTTAAAAAGGGAATTCGGTAGACAAAAGTCTCCACAGCATTAGGCCCTGCAGAGCAGTAGCATGGTGTGGATAACATTTACCTAAAATAAAACCCTGAGAACTCCTTTCATCTTTAAAGCCAACAGTGACACACACCACACACACACACACACACACACACACACACACACACACACACACACACACAGAGAGAGGGGGTTGAGCAGACAGCAAAGAGCCTTTAATCATTTTATGACAGGAACCTTGAGGTGGTGGGCAGCTAGTGGAGACTCCTCACATTCACATGCTAAGTCTTTATCTTATCAGACAGCAATGGAGGCGCTCGCTCTCATGAGAAGTAGGAGGGAAATGCACCCCCCCTCCTCCTCTTTACCACCCACTCCACTGGTATGTAAGATGGAAAATGGTTTGAACTGAGAAGAATTTCAAAGTTCACCTTTATCTCTTCAGACTGAGAGACAATTAAACCTCAAGTGAAGGAGGAGAAGAACAGCACCAACCCTAAAACTACAACTACAGTTACATTTTTCACATGAATAGCAATAAAGGGATTCTGCTGTTTTAAGCCTGGGGGGGGGGGGGGATGCAAATTCATGAATGCTGTCTGACATGGGTTAAAAGCATACTTTAACCTTAAAAAGAAGTGATCAATAATTCTTGTTTAGATGGTTTGTCTTATTTACACAGATCAAACCATTTAGATCTTCATATGCAACGATAAATGTAAAATCCACTCATATTCCAAACGAAAACTAAAGCGAACAAACATCGACTATACAAACAGCTTCAGAAGAGCTTCAATTAAGTGACACTGCGTTTCCTCCTCAGTTTGGCTGTGATCTATACTCACCCTAAAAGTATTGAGGCCAGACTAGTAAAGTCTAAGTTCTGACCACACTTTTATTTCTCCATCACACTATATCAGTGTCTCTCTTTAAAAAAAAAAAAAAAAAACCACGCGGGAGGCCCGCAGCTCTCTGGCTGCAACACTTGGTCCCCTGAGGGAGAAACAGCCACCAGACTGCGGGGGGGAAAAGCGCCCATCTAACCCTGTTAAACATATCTCATGTCATTTTAACTGTTTTATTAAACATATCGAGACTCCTGATAAGATAGAAAACAACAAATCTTAAAACTATTATTTATATCGTTGTTTTTTTTATTCGGGTCATTTTTTAATTTGACTATAGTTTTGAAGATACAAAAAAAAAATCCGGAATTGAATTAAACTGTATTGGAAACAGGTGGGGTGATCTCACTTCTGCTGGATTCAGCACAAACAGCGTTGATACTCTTTGCAGCGTTTGAAACGTTACACCACCGTTGATTTTCCCGCACATTGATAGTCATCCTACCTGATGGACGAACACGTCGACCGGTTCGTCCAGTGGCACTCCCTCTCGGTTAGTCATGGACAAGAAGCCGAAGCCCATGCGGACGTTGAACCATTTGCAGATGCCGACCCCGTGGAAGGACTGTGAATCCTCCTCGGTGCTCGGTCCCTCATCCTCCTCGGTCTTACACACTCCTGCAATGAAAAGTGTATGATTTAAAACAATAAAAAAATCTGTAAACCTACAAAATGTTTTAAAGGGGGCCAACATTTCAACCGAAAACTTTTCCCCTTTCTCTCGCGTGGCTGCATCACCAATCAATATGAATCGATGACCTGATAAGCTGAGGCTGCTTAATTTCCTATAAGCAACTGAACAAACACACGACCTTCTTTCTCAAGGAATATGCCACAACTTTCCCCCAAAATAAGTGATCCTGGGGGGTTTGCGTGAAATCAGAATGTCTGAAGAGCTTTTAAAGCATTGATAAGACACACGGACTGCACATCACGTGCGGGAACAATGCCTTGACATTTTCCACTGCTATCAGATACACAGTCCCACACCAGAAAAAAAACAAAACTTAATTAACTCATACATTAAAAAAAGAAGTAAATTGCTGTTAATTAGTGTTACTCAACCTGGGAATTCCTGGTTAGAAACGGAGCCCATGTCTTCAGTTCTGCCTTGAGTCAAAATTAGCACCTCAGCTACAGTATCCTGTGTTTAGCCCTCAAACTGGGTAATCCTCACAGATTGCCACTTTCAAGCAAAATGCTGTGAGACGCAGATACTGCGCAGCGAGAGGGAAAGCGGGAGAGGGAGGTAAACAAAAGGGGGCTGGCAACCTATTCCCTCTAAACAATAAGGGTGGAGGGGGTGGGGGTCACGGGGCAGGGTTTTTGATGAAGAATC